CGCTGGAGATGCCGCTGGGTCTGCCAGGGCTCGAACAGTGAGGGCGCGGTCATAAGCGGAGATACCGGTGGAGATAGTGGGGTCTCTTGAATCGAGGGAAACGGTAAACGCGGTGCCATGGGGTTCCTGGTTATTGGGGACCATCTGCGGTAGTGCAAATTTGTCGATGAGCGCTGGAGAAAGTGGTGCGCATACCAGCCCACTGTTCAAGTGTCAGTAAATTCATCAATTAGGTATTCTGTGGCGGTGCGCCGCGAGGAAAGCGATGGGCGATGGGGGCAATTCTGGGATTACCTTGTCCACCTAACCATGAATGCCATCTTCTCGACTGTGAGGTCTTCTGCGGCGATAATCAGGTCGCCCTCATTTTCGCGGTCTGCGGAGTCAAGCACGACAATGAACTCTCCTTGTCCTGTTTTGTTCATGGGTTAGCTATGCGTCATAATGGGATTTTTTCGCCGTAGAGAAAATTCTTCAAAATGAGGCAGGAACTCACGGAAAGCTTCGACCGCCTCCGGTATCGATGAGAACTGAGGAATTGTTTCCGAAGCCATTACTATTATGCTGGTGGAGGTTGTAGAGGTGTGAAGTTTTAGGTGGGGCAATTCCTCGGTTCGTTGATGTAGTTAATTTAGAAAGAACACCGGAAGAAGGAAAAACCGAATCTGGGATCCTCGAGTAGGAATTCGTGAGGCGATACAGTGGGGAAGAGATTAATGAAGAAGAGAGGTATAAACGTGGGGTTCTCGTGGACTATGTAGGTATGTCCAAAGTATTCCGTAAGCGTCGGCTGTCTTGGATAGGTAAGCCTGACCCATGCTGACATTCCCGATTCACTAGAAGCCTCCATACCCGTGAACTTATACAAGAAAGGAAGTCTGGAATCTCGCCGATTCTCACGTGCTATCATGATTCTCCCCCTTCGGCTTGGACATCTCGTATGAGTATACGCACTTGGGTTACTCAACTGCTTAAGGTTGTCTATAGAGAACCTGTGTCTACTTTACCGAGGTCATATAGGTACTCTACTTATGTAGGTACCTGGTCCAAAGTACTCTATGTACCTACATGCATACTAACTATAGCGAGAAGTCATACCTGTGACTCCAGTTGGAACAAGCATAGCTGAATAGATGGACGCTGCTACGTGAAAAAAAGTCGTTTAGTACCTAGGAGTCAGAGTAAATTATTTCACTTCAGGGTTCACATTAAAAGGTCCAAGCGCAGACCGATCATAACCACAGTACTCTCGATGTTTCATATTTCGCTGCCCAGAGAATAAAGCTACAAATTTCGCCAATGATAAAATTTGTTGCTATGTGGTATTTGTTATTTGTTTACTGTTCAACCTGGGGTTCCTCCGCAACATAGTGAAGATAGGCTCCCAAAAGCTTAATCCCCTCAATATAGTTCCTTCTGTCAAGTTTTTCTGCAGTAAATGTTAGAAGTTTTTCTTCAAAACAAAAGTAGGAATCCTATAGATGATATCATACCATTGATACTATGCGCAGCATCAGTGCTACTACCCATGGGTAACAGCAAGACATTCTTCCCAGTAGCTTGCTCAAATGTCAAGGTAACCGGAATGCTTCCACCTTCCCTAGTCATATCTGGCTTGCAACCAAAAACGCTCTCAACCGCTTTAGAGGCTGCGGCAAAATTCCAGTGCTTAGGGCTTGATACCCACCATTTACCAGCATGCAAAAGCTTGGCTTCCATGGTGTTGTTGGTTCTGATCTTCTCCCACTCGTATGCTAAGTGGTTAAGAACAACCTTATCCACCTCATCGGGTTCCATGTTTGGCACCGTGCGAACAGAGAATTTACCAATAACTTTGGCTGGAATGACGGTCTTGGCACCAGGGGCAGAGAAGGCTCCCTCGATACCGTGAATAGACAATGACGGGAAACGCCATCTATGCAGACCCTTATTAGAACCGAATCAAGGTTTATATATTAGATGTCAGCCTACCTAGCCATCAAAGTGCTCTCCTTATCTTGGTAGATGCTGCTGCAGCTTCCAATACCATCGTACAGATCCTTCATCTCGAAGCTAATTCCCTCGTATAGCTTCTTCTCCTCTTCGTCGACCGGCTTAACGAGCTCATTCAAACCAGGAACAAGAATTTTCCCTTTGTTGTCCACCAATGTTCCCAATAGCTTGACAAGGTCGGTCATTGGTTCAGTGACGGATCCACCGTAGACACCAGAGTGGAGGTCTTGACCCGGGCCATGAATACAAATTTGGTAGTACGATACTCCGCGAAGGCCGTATGTCAGACATGGCTTCTCGGCACCAAGCCAGTAATTGTCGGAAATGCAGACAGCATCAGCGTCCTTGAAGAATTTCTTGGCTTCGGCGTGGATAATATCGTCTAGACCCTCGGATCCATATTCTTCCATTCCTTCAAAGCACATGAGGAGATTTACAGGAAATTCGATACCGGCTCTGTCTTGGTATTAGTAAGATCGTATAAAATAATGAGGTTGACTAGGCTATACTGACCTTTGATGAGCTTCAATAGCGTTGAGCCATCCCAGACTAAGCACCCATCAGCTTCGAATTATTACCCACATATAGCGTAATCAATGACTGTACTAACACGGGACCCTTATCATCCGTACTACCTCTCCCAAACATCTTTCCAGATTTTTGGTCAACACTCAAGACGAATGGATCCGTAGCCCAACCATCTTCTTTCAGCGCGGGTTGCACATCGTAGTGTCCGTATACCAGGATGGTCCTCTTGTTCTTATCATTTCCATATCTGGCCAGGAGGATGGGTGGAATCTGAAGATGAGGCCTATCAGGCTCCGGCCCAGGGTGACGCTCCTCAACGGTAGCTCCAAGAGCTTCGAGCTCCTTTCTAAGGAATTGGGCCATTTTCACAACCTGGGGACGCATGGCATCATCAGCAGAAACGGAGGGTATGGCAACGGCATCAGAGAGACCTATGAACACAGTTTAGGTTTTATTTTAATCTCAAGGTTGCAATTGGATACGAACGCTTGATGAAGCCCTCGGCCATTTCGTCCACCCTGTTATATAGATTAGTCTTGTTCAGGTTGAAATGGAAAGCTCCAAACATCTATCCCCATGCTTTGGCAATGATAACTCAATAGCTCTACATTTGACGGAATAGGGCACTTTTACTATAACACTAGAATAAAAAAGATAGTGGGAGCACGAATCACATACTTGTTGAAGTATCCCTGAAGTTGAGGAGCCATGATTTCTGTTTTAGAGGAGTAGTATCTGGGTATCGGGTATCTGGGTATCGGGTATCGACAATGATCAACAATAGTAAAATTTCTTGGTGACAGTAGTGAACGAGGGAGTTTAGCTAAAGATGAGCTTAGGCGAAGATGGGAAGAGGGTTTATGAACGAATCGATTGAGGACCCGTGAGAAGGGCCTTGGGATCATGTGGCGGGGTCGAATGAGGAGGGGTAAGACGCGTACAAGAACTCGAGACAGAAGGTGCAACATTTGCCAAGACTTAGGTCTTTCTAAATCAACTAGGTGGTACATACAATCAGGACACGTACCGTTTCTAACCTGGTACTGTGTCAGACTGTGAAATAGGTTTAGAATTTAGCATACTGATTATTTCCGAGCCTATCCGCCTCCAAAGTTTATGTGTAGGTTTTTAGCGCTGTTGTCATACGACTCGTTTACACTTAGACAACTTCAGGATACTACATTTATGTGAGTATCTACATGTACTACACAGGCAGTACATGTAGTAATACATGTACCTAGGTTTATGTCGTACGTTAGGAAGGCCGTACTATTTGGAGGTGATAGATTATGATTATGATAAATCGCGCTTAAGACTTATCGTAAAAGAGAAATAACTATAAACCCATTTAGATTGTTCCTGTCATTCGCCATTAACCCGGAAAGGACTGTAGAATGCCACAAGGTCAATATTGGAAATGATAACTGCGGCGGATTCCGTTAGAGAAGCCTATCTCCACCGGCACCCTATTTGGCACATGTGCGGTTTCTTCATGATCCTATTCCTCCTGGTCTCATTCTTCTGTTCTCTTCGGGTGCTAATAGAGAGTTTGAGCTGCGCGAGTTGGACGGAAACTTAGGCTATTTGAGGTAAAGGTTTTCAACTCTACTAGCTAAAACTCCGTTAATACGATAATTATAAGTTGTGCGTGAATATATGATGTCTCGAGTGATTTTCAAAGTAGACGAGTGCGTAATCAATGACTCGCTCATCCTTCGAACAAGTTTTAAACGAAACAATGTCAGATAGTGCTATATCACATGTACTCAAAGGCCTACTTGTCGTAGCTTGCTTGATATCTTGCATATCTATATGGAACGACAAAAAACATGAATATATATGTCAAGTACGGGAGGGGGGTAGTTCGTGACGTTAATCATGTGTCTATCGTTTGACAGCATGATCTTGATTAAATATGTACCGATTCCTTATCACCTGACCTGGCTCGACCTACTTGTAATAGACAGGACCAAGGTATATACTCGTTTACCACGAAAAGAACTAGAAAATGCAAGTGACGGAGATAGGGATAATTTGTATGAGAGATCACCACCACTCCGCCACTCCATACAAATCATCCTTGGTGGTAAACGAGTAGTATCTAAAGTTTACTGCAGCAACTTCAATGCGGACGGGATCTCAAGTTGTACGGGCCTATCAAGCTGAATTGGACGGGGATGTCAGTTTAAACGGGAATGTCGGGTTGAACGGCCGTACGGGGATATCAGGTTGCAAGGCTTCAACCGATCAAGTTGAACGGGTCAGCAAATATTGAGCTCGAACGGGTGCCTCAATAAACTGAGAATAGTCAGCGGGTTCACATATTGGGACCACATACTCCTATTGAGTAACGCGAGTACAGGTGCTGAATATGTACATACATACAATAGCTTTTGATATCACGTGACTCTCGAGTTAGCGCCGAGCCACAGAATAGTAATGAATTTATCATTAAAAATTAAAAGCTACCAACACGCATCTCAAACAGCCGCTCTGGATCTAGCCTCCAACTCCAACTCGAACCTCTCTTTGGCACATGGTCGTTCCCGAATCTCTGCCATCATATCTTTGCCTGCAAAATCATGCTCAAATACTGGCTCACTGGCACCTCTCATATTCGCAAGCACAGACTGTCTAAAATGCCACCGCAAAAGCTTATCAGACACTCTATGAGGATCCGCCGGATTTCGACACACAGGGTCCAGACTTCGTCCATCTACGCCTAGCATATCTATACCAAACACCACAATCTTGTAGTTGTCCTATTATCAGTCAGCGCCATGAATATCAACCCTAGAACTCTAGAACTCTAACTCACATCCGGATTCACCGACACAAGATACTTATTAAACGCCTGGCGCACGTCCGCTTTAAGCAGAAACCCATTCTGACACGAGGTGATCTTTGACAATCCCGTAGTATCGTTCATATCCGTCTCTTTCTCCAGTGGAAAGAGATGAGCAGCTTCGAAAAAGGTCCAATCGAATGGAGCCGTGATAACACACTTTCCATCTCGAGCTCGGATTCCCTCACGAAATGCATACTCCCGGCCGGGCACATTAAACGACATAATGCGTTACACCCACGGCTCGTCACTAACTCTAATCGTGCATTCTTGTTACGGAGACTCCGATACGTTTTCAACATAGAGCTTCGGGCGACATCATGTCGATGAGCGACAGTCGTCTGCAACTTGGGATATACGATGTTTATTGTGATGGTACGGGCTTATTCATGGTGGGATGAAAATAGTTAATGTCAACAGGATCCCGAGCATCTGGAGGAAATTTGATTCCGTAACCGCTCCATTCTGGATGAGTCCGCCTAAGACAACATTAGGATTAATACCATCATAAAAGTGTACGTTGCGAAAGTGTTAACGGTTCGAGGCCATAGTACCTACAGAAGAATAGATGAGAATTGGGCGATGCCCCCGGTTATATGTTCCCAAGTCAGCGTCCTAACCTACCGAAATAGGTAACTTGGGAACCTTGGCGTTTCGTTCCCAAGTTGGAGATCTACAGTTACACCCAGAAACCTGACGACAACTGATTGGTCAGAGTACAACGCTAAACTAATTACAGTTAGTTTCACCTATTCGAGCGTTCGGAGTCCCAGCGTTCGGACCAGTGCTGAAGATTCAAGAACATGCTGTTCAGTATTTCAAATTTACCCCAGGGTTAGGGATCAGACACACCAAGACCAATTTGAAAGCTTGTGTTTTGGGTCAAAGGTCGCCTGAACCTGTTCCAAACTCGCAAACCTCCCACCCCCTGACAAACTTTCTTTTTTATCCCAAACTCAAATTTTACCATGGAAAACCAAGAGAGCACCCCACGCTGGCTCTCAATCACTGGGAAACCTCTTCCCCGCCTGGATCTCCCTAATGGCATGCCGGGTGCGTGTTCTGAACCATAATGCAAGAACGCACCTACTAACATAACCCCAGGAAGGTGTCGGAACATAAAGGACTTCCAATTTCTTAACCAGCTCGGCGAAGGGAGTCAGTTAGAACTCCGATCGCGCCACAATCAAAATAGAGACTAACAGCCGTGTTTATAGCCTACGGGGTAGTTCACCGTGCGCAGGACCACAAAAACAATAAAGTCGTCGCCCTCAAACAGGTCCGAATCTTCGACTCGGACCGTGGTAACGGCATTCCCATCACCGCCCTTCGCGAAATATCAATCCTCAAATCCCTCCGCCACAACAACGTCGTCAACGTCTTGGATGTGGCCGTGGGAACGGAGCTGGACGACGTCTACATGGTCATGGAGTATGCTGAGCAGGTTGGTGGATTCTCCTTGGGCCGACATTGTCGGTTTTGATTTGTAGGGACGCGAAAGAATCCTGGGCGCACATCGGCTGGCTTATGGTTCCCTCGCCCGGTGTCGTCGGCAACGGGCGGGTGAAGCGCGCGCAGCTTTTGTTACGACGCTTTATAGGATTTGGCAAACCTTCTTGATCATGCAAGAGTTAAATATTCCGAGAGCGAAGGTACACTAAAATTGCTCTCCCAGCTTTTGGGGGAATACTAATTTGCCTTTCGACCAGTGAAATGCCTTATGAAACAGCTACTGGAAGGGTTGGAGTACCTCCATAAGCATGATATTATTCACAGGTAAGTTATCATCTATAAACAAGCTTCCCCAAATACTGATAACCTAAATAGAGACATAAAAATGTCCAATCTCCTTCTCACTGCTAAAGGTGTTCTAAAAATAGGTAATTCTCCTTCCCGGTAGTTCCCTGGGATGTTCTCATAATGCTGAACGATTATCCAAACAGCCGATTTTGGTATGGCCCGCGAGTACTCCGCTCGCCCCCTCACTCCTGGCGTCGTAACTGTATGGTATCGGGCCCCAGAACTTCTCCTCTCCGCAACTCGTTACACCTCCGCTGTCGATATCTGGTCCGCGGGTTGTATTATGGGTGAATTGATCATTCAACTTCCTCTCCTTCCCGGTGAGACAGAGCTTGAACAGTTCGCTCTCATTGTCAAGTTACTCGGGTCGCCTTCCGACAAAATATGGCCCAAGATGCGGCTTCTCCCCGGTATCTATGATCGTGGCCGCATAGCCCCTGACGATGTCTCTGCGGGTGGTGCTAGAGGCAGATATGTCCCTCCTCCCGTTGGAGCGCAGAGGGAGAATATGTTGGAGCGCCGTCTTGTCGGACAGACTAAGGAAACAATTAGGGTCATAAACGAAATGTTGACGTTTGACCCCGAGCGTAGGATTACTGCAAGTGATGCTTTAAGGGAGCGGTATTTCACGAGGGAGATGCCGCCCCCACAGAGACCAGAACTGATCCAGACATTCCCGGAGATTCGAAACGAGAGTGATATTGGCGCAAGGAAGGGGGTGGAGGGCGCGGGTGGAAAGCGAAAGGGGAAGGAACAAGGCGGGGGGTATGTTTTCGATTTTGGAGATGATTTTGGCGTGAGGAAAAAGCATAGGCAGCTCGAGAGACGCGATTGAGCTCTTAGAGGTATAATTTGCGCAGCACACTAAATGAGGATAACCATAACAAGGTATGCAAGTAATTGAAAAATCATCAACGCTACATAGATGTAGTTACTACGGAGTGGATCGTGTGATCAGCAGTGATATGGTATTTTATCCATGGCTATAACTATGTGTATATCTACATTATAATAGATGAAGCAAACAAGCAAGATGCTTCTCGAACATGATAAATTCCCTGGAGTCCACTCAGAATTAAATGGGCATAGAATCTCTAGGAATTCCTTATATGTCGCGCGCTATCGCTGTTCTTTTAGGTTTGGGTTCACTGGGCATATTAACACATTTACTCCTGGTCAAGGCTCGCTATCAGCCAGGTACAATGAAAGTTTAAGTTGTTAACGATAGTATTAGCACCCCTAACTAATCCCGAGTCAGACACTATGAGCAAGATGAATCTGTTCATATCATCGTGAGAAAATTGCCAAGACTCACTTATCAGGGTTAGGGGATATCAATTATCCCGTAAACTGGACCATCCGGCGCATATGCACGGTAATCCGAATTCATGTACTTACTTCCAACTACATAGTGGAATAGATAGAGTAGGTAGAATTCAATAATATAAACCGATGAGTATATAGGCCATGACTTTTTATTTAGTGTAAAGGCCCATGGTTGCTGTTGCTGCTCAAGGCTACGTAAACATGTTACGCCCGTCACCCCACCAGCATCCAATCAGACATCCCAGTAGTACCGCGGTTTTCGTATCACCTTATCTATCATTTGACTTGTTGATCATGAAGGCTGCGATCTCGATTGTCGAATGCTTTTTTGTTTTTTGTCCTCTTCTTTACTCCTCATTCTCCCCACCTTTCCCTCGGCTTCATTCTTCTACATACCTCTATAGCTCTATAGACATTTACATTCCCATTTTCTTACGCAATGTCTAGAGTTGCGATTTACACCGCATCGCTGTTTGTGTTTATTGGAGGTATGCTACAAAGTTACGTCATTTTTAGCTCGCTACTCGATCGAGTTCTAGCTCTATTGAGCTTTTAATTACACCAACGAATGCATTTCGGCGAAGGGAATCAATTCTAACGCAATCGCTCCCCGGAACAAAGTCACTGCTTTAACCCTCTCTTCAATAATCGTCCCCCGATGGACCTCCTACGAGGATACCAGTATCGTGAGCCACAAACCTCCAGAATCACAGAAAGACATATCAGAGCTAATAAAATGATATAACCAGCCAATTAACTACCATTACGGACTCCATAAGCGCTGCACCTCAGCAGGCGACTGCACACATTTCCCCAGCTACGCTGACTGCCATGGCACTGATCGCTACTTCTGTTCAATGTGGCGATCTACAGCATGGTTGATGAGCTTTACGCTAGTAATCGAAGGCATGAATATTGTTGCATTTATTGTCATTCTTGCTGGCGGCCCCGCGAAGAGAATGAATGGATGGAGAATGTTGGGCGTTTTATTGCTCCTGAATGGTATGTGTAATAAATCTCACCGAGCGTGGTGGTAAATTTCTATATCTAACGTTGGTGACCAGCGTTTATACAAGGCGCTGCGACCTCGTTGGTGCAGTATCTATATGATTACGATGATCGATTCTTTGTGGGATGGAGCCTAGGTGTGAGCTGGATTCTGGCAACTGTGAGTTGGGCTGTAACGGTTATTCTAGCGGGAATTGTTGTCGTAGGTGGTTGGTATTTGCCGCCAGAAGGAGGGTACGAGTTTTTGAAATAGCTATAGAATTGGGGACGAAAACATTTTAGTACGGCTTTTTGACTAGCGAGTTTATTAGTTTTGAGAGGGACTCGATTAAATGTTGTTCCTGTTGGTTTGATTATGTCCGAATTTACAGTACCAACGTAACTATAACTTCATTTAGGTGGTCATGGTCCGGTGCGGTGCCACTTGAGTACAATATATTTTACTAGAGAAAGTATTGATACCACGCTAGTAAGAATCAGGAGCGAGTGAGATTCTATGTATGTACCTGGAAAGATCCCTACATTTTAGTAGTGGTGGTGGTGGTTGAGAAGGGGGGGGGGGGGGGTGTGTGGCTAGAAATACATGTACAATACATTCCAAAATTTCCTAATTGAATACATGAATTTACATTAAATTTGAAAGGGCAGTTTTGAGAAATCCCAATTCCTAACTTTCTAAATAACAATAACAATACATTGACATTGCCCAAAATCCTGTGAAAACTAATATATAAAAATAAAAATTATAAATTACCGCTACGTGTACCCCCCCCACCCCCCTCTTTTCTATAATATCAAGAACACAAGTTTAATAACACGTGTATGTGCGTTAAATCTTTTTAATCCGCTCAACGTATGTATCTCTTCTATGTATGTTCCATTCATAAGAAGCACACCGTACTCTATTTAAGATTTATGAAGGGATATTTCGCTGTTGATTATACGTGGTGGAGCCCGGATCGTCGAGTGTAGGTGAGAAATTGGGATCGTCAAAAATGAACCACTCTTCGTCTGGCACCTCTAGCAACATGGAAGGATCCGGTGCATTTGGAAGAATGTAACCAACGTAACCTTGTACCGTAGTGGTGGCGGCGCCAGGTCCTAGATAGCTGCCACATAGGGGTATAAAAGAGGGATTCTCCCCCTGATCGGCTTGTGGAATGGAAGAATCTAATCCATTCAAAAAAGCAGTAGACTGGTTGTGTTGGTCGGCAGTGACAGCGGTAGGTTGTGACTGATCGTTATTAGGAATTTGCTCTGGAGTGATGGACGATTGGGTTTCTGACGAAACGTCGGCCGCAGTGACGTCGTCAATATCATGAGAGCCAGACCCAGAGCCATCCATATTAGAAAACTGCACTTGGTTGCAATTTTTTGCTGCCCAGTCCACATTGAATGCAATCATAACTTTCTTCACATCATCTTCATCCACCCCTAGACAGTCTTTAAGGCTTTTTGCCAGTCCAAATTGATACTCCGGTTGTCTACCGGAAGGAATAACAACACATCCTCGAATTTTGGTAGATAGTTCGCTATCACAAGCCTGAACGGCGTTGGCTGCGGTTTGCTCCCAATCTATCCTCATCCCGGTCGAAATCAGCATATATATATATAAAAACGTGTGAGATACTCTTACATGGATCTGGTGTGTTTCGATGAAACAAAACCTTGAAGACCCTTTCCCAAGTGCAAGTCCTTGGAAGGTCTAGCTCATCTCTGATTTGCGAGTTGCTGTCATTTCTCGAGTAGGCAGACCCAGGAGATTCTTCATTCATCTGACAATCATCGTGTCGTAAATGTATATTCATTTCATCCTGAGTATCTGCTTGAAATTCCTTGCACCGGTGACACCATAGCTTCAGGTGCCGTGACTTGCAATGCTCCCTTGATTTATAAAGCAAGTTAGTACACCCAAGTAATAAAACCGGATCCTAAAAACCATACTTCACTTGTCTAAGATTGGTATCATTTCACTGGGTATAGTCGGAATATTTGACTGGATCCTTTTTGAAATAAGGGCAAGCGAATGGTCTCTTAGACTGGCTGGGCGAGCTTCCTTGAGCCTTCGACCCTTTTGGTCTTTTAGAAGGTTGGTCAGAAGATTCATCATCTTCTTGGTCATTCGACCGATCCCCAAGGCTTTGAAACCGTCTTCGTTTTGTAGGGATATGCTTCCCTTTCCTTTTCGTGTCAGATGTACTACCCCCGTGGTATCGATAAGTCCCAGTGCCTTTTAAGTTGTGCGATATTTCTATATTGTAGTCACTATTATCAACATTTCCGCCCTCGTCATCTTCATTCGCGTCCTCAACTTCATTCGCGTCGTCATCGATGTCCTCGCAATCATTCTCACTAGTGCTTCCGCTCTCATCCCCGTGGCTCAGGTCAAAAGTTGTGCAACTTTTGCTAGATAATGAAATTTCTCTTCTAAGATCGTCGGTTAAAGGCGCATTTGATATGGTATTATTGCGTGTTTTGGCCTTCGGAGACTCTTCGTCGGATAGTGTAGTACTCGACATAGAACTGCATTCTACCTCTTGATCCAAGGACACATCGCCGCTCAGACCACTACTCCCTGCCTGCCCTGCAAAAAAAATCATAACCCATTGCATGAGCTTCCGGTAGAGTTTTAACTATCTCGAGAACCTTGAGACCCATCGCGATAGCAGGGTGACCTGGTGATAGGGCCCCCATAACCTCATCAATCACCCGCAGACACTCTTCAACAGAACTTTCAGTGCTGACTTTCCCCGGGTTCCCGGTTGAGGTTTGTAAGTATTTTGCCATAGCGTGAAGTGGAGTGCATCCATTGCTGTCCTTACATGACATTTTAGCTCCGTTGTCAAGTAGTAACTCGATAACAGAAAATACATTCCCGGCCAAAGCTGCGGCGTGCAGTGGAGTGCATCCATTATTGTCCTTACAGTTGACATCGGCCCCTCTCTTAAGTAGGGGCTCGATGAAACTAACATCCCCTCTAGGTGCCGCATCGTGAAGTGGGGTGCGTCCATTATTGTCCCGACAGTTGGCATCGGCTCACAAGTAGTGTCCTAATGGTAAAACCAGACCCTCTATGTGCCGCACTGTGAAGTGGGGTGTGTCCTTTATTGTCCTTACAGTTGATATTGGCCCTCTGTTAAGCAGGAGATCGATGGCATGAACATCCCCTGTATGTGCTGCATCGTGAAGTGGGGTGCGTCCATTATTGTCCTTACAGTTGACATCGGCCCCTCTGTCAAGCAGTATTCCCAGTACATACGTATACTCCGGAGGAATAAAATCCCCAGATGCTGCGGCGTGCAGTGGAGTGCAACCCTCGATGTCCTGACAGTTGAAATCGATAGACTCGAGTTCCAATAGCCCTTGAATAATACCAAGATCCCCTGAATATATTGCAATGTGTAGTGCAGGTCGCCCATCTCTGTCCTTGCAATTTGGATCCGCTCCCCTCTGAAGCTGCTTGTGTACCTCCTCCATATTGCAATGTAGTGCCGCACTTAGAAAGAGACGATTGACGTCTTCGGAAGTACATTCTGTGGCCTCCACGCTAGATTCTAATGGTAAAACAATTCAACGGATTAGATCTCGAAAAAGATTGAACATGTGGTATCACAGTTTATATCACATACGTAGAGTTGTACTTGTGCGATCGGTGCCAATATTTTTATTGTCTTTCTGTCCGCAATCTGCCCGTTCAGCATTCGACACCAGATGTGCGCATCTGTGCTCTTTGGGCGTGTGCGGCTGCTCCAGCTCCATATCTAAAGACTTCGTGCGCCTCGGGGGCATCGGTAGGAACGTTACTTTTTTATTGGCCCTACTCTGTCGTCTTTCATTGCGCATGATCAGAAATGCAGGTGTATATAGAGGTTAATAAAAGTGATCTGGAGCTATGGGAAGTGTTGACTAGGCTAAGCGTCTGTATATGTTGTATGTCAAAAGAGTTGGATCTATGATTCCATGCCTGAGACTTTATACGGCCCAAATTGATGACACAGCCTTGCCAAGTAAGGCCAATGAAATTTGATTCCATCTTTGCAATTTGATAGTCGAGGTTAGAATAAAAAAAAAGTACATGTAGTTGTGCGAAAATATGAGGGACTAACGGGTTTGGGATTTAATGTGCAAAATGTATTAAACCTACCTACATGTAGTTCTTAACACTGTATATTATATATCGTGCAAAGTTGATCGTGAGAATGATTACAAAAAAAGTATGGTCACGTGATGCACTGTATCGCTGTCTGGTATTTGTACCTCGCGGTTAGTAACTTTGCAACATAAACTATCAGGAACCAACAAGTCCGGCTTAATGGGCGCGTTTCCCCAGCTGCAGCTGAGGCGCTGGAAAATCCGGGATGGAAACTGTTATCGGACAGCTAACCAAACCGTTTCTTGCCGCGTCTATTCTTACTCAAACAGACGCGCGCAACGGATCGAGTTGCGTGTCATGTCTCCTCTCATCCCGGTCGTAGTCGGACTAGAGGATTTTGATGTACGTATCTCTATGCAGAAGACCTGATAAATACCCCCTTGAGAAGTGAAAGGTACGAAACACTGCATTTCTTGGGCATGGGATGGAGTTGAGTACCCTACTTTCGATTCTACGCGTGAACTACAACAGCCCCCGATCCACCCCACTACCCCAGGCGCACAAGAAAAGTAATTCATGCCTACATAACCTCCCAGTTACACAGATCACCTCGAGAACCCCGATCCAGTTGGGCTTCGCATTCGGCAGTGAGGTGTCTGCCGAGTCATAGCTAATCACTCGTTGCGCAGAGTTCTATAAACAGGAATTCAGAATTGCATAACCCCGATCACCGGCACATATATAGATATATCGATCATGTGGGGTTGCAATATACTTCCAATGGCTACAACTAACATTTTCTTTTAGGATTGGGTCATGAGATATCACTCACATAGAGCTTTCTGACGGCTATATCAATCTATCCTGAATCAGGGTATCGGGATGAAGCGGCCTATCAGAATAACTACTTGCGCCACCGCTGGCATTTGAAGTTGACATTAAGTCTGAAACAGCAAGCATGCACTAACTAGGTCTGCTTGAGTGGGCTAGAATTGGAAAGTTTTAATTTTGCTTCATGTCCCCAAGGGAAATCTTATACTGCTCACTGCTATGGGGCGGTAAATGTGTCAAAAGTAATTTTACCACCGGTGGGAAATTTTCATAAGTTTTGGCATTAATGATTGAACATTTACTTATTTAGTATAGCGCAGCATAAAGACCGAAACTCAGTGTTTATATCGGTGGAAATGTACTAATGTAGGATAGCGTGCAGATACAATGACTGAAATTCAGTGCTTATACCACCGGTGGTAAATAATTTACTACCGTTGGTAAAATTACTTTTGACACATTTACCGCTCCATACACTGCGGTGTTTCAGGTACTTGTGGATACGATTCGATTTCTAAGACTACACCTTAGGCTTTCTCCTCGTTCCAGCTTTTTATTTTCGTTATTTTGGTATATCAGATTGAGCTTATATCGACTATGTGAGGAACTTGAAACTACATGTAGTCTTACATTCAGACGAGTGTGTCATGCATATAGCTTGTTACTATTGCGCGATGTACTAATCCACTGGAATATATATAGCTAATCCGTCGCTAGCTCATGCTATAGCTGAAGGTTTCATTGACACTCCGATGATTTACCATAGGTGCCTCGACTTAGCTGGTTTATATATGTTGCCCATATATCTGATGTGTGGAGAATCCCAAACATAACTCTCTTTAAACATCCGGTATTTCAAACGCCCTATCACTGCATATAGCCATACGTACAGGCATGGAGTATTTTATCCTATAGGCCTAGTGGGCTTACTTGGTCTAGTCACTAATATACTTAAGCACGTATGTATACTACTCACAGTCATGATATATAAGCTTAAGCCTGCAATTGAGGCAAAAGACCCACTAATTCCCTTGCAAGAATACAGTAGCGACAAAATTAAGACCAGTAGCGCTGCTACGCAGCACATAGCTCCTCAATAGCCCTAGAGTGCTCAATTACACATCTTCAAGTTAAATATAAGTTAGTATGGTCGTGGTTTAATTGTTGACTGATCTTATCAGGAACCGTAATATAAATTAATAAGCGGTTAGACTCCAATAACGGAATTGCGCAACTGAGACCCCAGCCGGTGGGGATGCTGTGACCATAGAGCCCAGAAGCTCTTCTCCATATCTATTAATGACATATCCCAAATGATATATCAGCAAGTTAATTTCCGCCCGCATCTGCAGAGGTCTAGAGTAGGTCTGTACGTAGACAGCTCCGCGCGGGTATATATAGCCACCACGCAACCAAGCTACATAACCCCGCAATTCGCATCCAGCCCACCCCACACAACATCCCGGGATGCCCATCTACTCTACGGCATGCAACCATATAAACGCAGGTCGTCCCTCGCAGGCATTCAAACCCCACAAACGTCACCGGCACAGTCACAGACATGGATTTTGACGAAAGCTTTTACGCCCCCGGCCCCGAGGGCCGCGATGTCTGCATCTCAACATTCCACGGCTCTGCCCTCTACCTGCACTCGCGGGTATTGATCATGTTCTCTCCCTGGTTCGCCGCCAGCATGTCTACGCTGTGGTGGAAAGATAAAGACCCACCACCGAATTGGAAGTTCCGCTACACCTACCTGCTCGACGTCGACAACGACGACATCTCCACCCTTCTCCCAGCCCGCCAGGGGAGAGAAGGAAACATCCCAAGAGCTCAAGATCTAGGAGCACCTGATCCACAGCCTACGAACGTGAATTAGCCCTCAACCAAGACAATCAAAAAAAAAAGAGTGACCCCCCCAAGCTAACCAACCCCCACCCCAAAGTTCCACCACCTCTATACCCAGCTCTTCAGCGCCCTCTACCGCCTCCCCCTCACCATCCCCGACCACCATTACCTCTCCGCCCTCATCGACCTCGCCGACCAATACCAGTGCCTCCCCGCCGTCGCCGACTCCATCCGCTCCACCCTCTTCGAGCGCCCCACGCTCGACCGCGAGATCCACGACGCCCCCGCCCGTTTCCTCGCTATCGGCTATAAACTGCGCTCCGCGCGCATCTTCCGCGAAGCATTCATCCACAGTGTCGGGCTGCGCACCGTCGCCGACGCCCCCACCACGCAGATCTCGGCAATGATCACCATGGAGGTGTGTCGGCTCGAGCAGCTGGTTGCTGCTGCGATGCGTCAATTCCTCGGCTTATCTGGGTTCGGCGAGTATACGAGGAGTGTGAGGGCCTTGGTGAGGCGCGAGCTGGGGAGGTGCTTTGATCAGTATCCCGAGGTGGGCAAGGAGGGGAAGCTGTTTAGGATGATTGTGGAGAACCCGTTTAACGCGGAGGAGCACGCGGAGGAGACGGTGCAGTATCAGGCGAGGGGGCTGGTGACGAAGGTGAGGGTGTTGGCGGGCACGCTGGTGGTCAATAATTTGATGTTGAAGCAGGAGATGGATTATTTGACGTGTGCGGAGCTGAAGGATGATGCGCTGCCGTGGCTGTAGACTGGGGGTGTAATAAGATGCGGGGGGTTCGGTTTGTTAGAGTGGGCTCTATTTTTTCGTTTTAATTTTCGTTTTATTTCTATTGACTTGATATAGTGTTAGGGGCGAGCGGGAACCGGGGGGGGTTAAGAGGGTGGGGGTGGGGGGGTACTTTTCTTCATTCTCGTATATTTGGCTGCTCTAATATTCTACGATACTACACAGAGGAGGACTAGCTCTAATATTAACCCTGGTACGAATATATCAATCTAGATCCTGTAAACATGTATCTGGTACAAGATTTCAGGTAGGGGAACATGTTTCTTTTTTTCCTACCAACTCGATCATTACCACCCGCCACACACTTGGCCGAAACGGGAATGGTTAGTTAATTAGTCCCGCCCGCCCGCCCCCTTCTCCAAGTAAAGTAAGAACAGAACAAGCCCTAGCGCGGCAGCCATCTAGAAAGAAAAGGGAAATAAAAAAACAAGCACAATCCGCGCTATACCACTCAGAGACAATAAATTAATCCGTCGGTCACATTGGTCGAATTATTAACAACCTATACTAGGGAATACTAACCATCTGCCCATCTGTCTGTCTGTCCCTACATCCACGTGTACCTACTAAAGCCAGTGCCAGTGCTCGAAAAAAAAAAAAAAAAAAAAAAAGAACCCTCACCACGTTTCGCCCCCTTCCTCCCGGCAAACAAAAAACAAGCAAGCATCAAGCATCAAGCATCAACCACATGCCCAAGACCGAGTGATAACCCATGATCCACACCACCCACCACCACCACCGGCCGGCGAACCAGGTACGACACGAGTTACAAAACCAAACCAAAACCAAACCAACTCAACTCTCCCCCCCGACTTGCCGCAATTAAAAAAGTGATCGCCCCTACCCTACCTACCTGTTTACGCACGCAATCTCGGTAGATCTATATCATCCCACCGCCCCCCGTACGTACATGTATGCAATTGCCACTTATCTCTCCTGCCTCCCCCACACATACAGACACACCGCGTGACCGCAATTGTAATCCCGACAGCGCGGGAGCTGGAATTGTTTGGAAACAAACCAGCCCAAGACTAAACAGCGGCCGGGGGGAATAGGGGTGGGGTGTGCGCCGGTGTTTGTTAGGCGCGCGAGAAGAGACAGTGAGAGAGATCATGGAAGGGCGCACAAAAAGAGAGAGGGTGAGTTACACGGCAGTGATGTACACGAGTGTCTTCGGCAAACGCACCGTGTGTGGGTGGCTAAGGCATGAAACAGCACATCATATCGCAGGTTACGCCAAATTTTCTGTCTATGTAGGTTACAGACACATATGATCGATCTCTCACTATACTGTGCATACGTGCGTGTGCGTGTGTGGATGGAGCGGGTGAGCGGGCGGGCGGGCGGTAGTTTTGCTTGCTTGTCTGCTTGCTGCTTGTCTACCTAGTGCTAGCTAGCTTCTATCTAACCTTCGCTACCAACCGGGGGTGGCGGCGGACGAGGACAGAGTAAAAAAAAAACAAATTAAAAGTCGCCCAAGTCATCCGGCAGTTGTTTCCCCGGCGGTTCTGTGCGCATGACGCCTGCCTGTCTGGCCGGTCAGTGGGGGGAGCGCGAGAGAGGGAAGGGAAGAGGGGGAGGGTTGCACATAGTTCATCCGAAGCTTTCTGGCTTTCTGGCTGGCTTGTGCGTGGCGCAACATACATGTAGTGTTGGGGAGATAGCATAGAGTACGTAGGTTCGTGTAGGTGGCACCGGGGAGTGCGAATGTGTACTTGCTTGTACTTGCATCCGAAGACCCCTCTCCCTCAGTCTCAGTCCAGGTGTTTTGGGGACTTTACTTTTTTACAATCTATTCCTCCCTTTCCCCTCTATGTACTCCTCCTCATCTACCTTCCCTCCTTCTCCTCCTCCTCCTCCCCCCCCCCCCCCCCCCCCAATACCCATACAACAAACTCAAACAAACCTCCAAACCCCCAAACCCCCATCCCCCATCTCCCCTCGCCTCTAGCACGTCATCCCGTCCTACCCTGTCCGTCCCGTCAGCCCTACGATAGTATAGATACGAATGCTTACTTGCACTTCGGAACATTGATTGCGTACATAATGTATGCCGGATTTTTCCTTTAGTGGGTGGGCGGGTGGGGAGCTAGCGCGCTTGGCGTTCATCCTATACTGAGCGTGGGGGCGAGTGATTTTTCATGTCCCGGAGTGGATGGAGCTAGTGGGGGGTTAGTAGGCTAGTGGTAGAAGGGTGGGGGTCTTGTGGGCGACTACTGGATGATTGGGGGATTGTCTTTTATTATTATTATTATTATTGTTTTGATTACTGGCTGGTTGGGGGATTGTTTTTATTATTATTATTATTTTGATTACTGGTTGCCCCTGGCATATGCGGATGAGACGAGGAAATGTAAAGGAAAAAGATGAGATGCTGATCAGTACTATTTAGTATCGTGAGCGTACCACAGCCCTGATTGAAATACCGGCCTTGATACAGATGGTCCCCTGATCAACAGTATAGTAGAATGCGTCTTCCTCCCAATGTTAACGGTGACCCCATAGAAAACGCCAAACCGCCATCATCGTGAATTGAAAAAAGACAAATATGTCGTTAGTAGAAAATGGGAGGTTTAATCATCAAAACCGAATAGAAAAGTGCAAAATGAAAAAACGTAAACTCCGTTTTTTTGCCCCATAATTTGCCCCATAATTTGTCCCATAATTTGCCCCTCTTAAAAAAAACATGATGAGCCCAAGCAACCTGGCTTTTTTTTTACCCCAAATAAATAACAAAATACCCGGTATGCTCCTCCCTAATATCCGTATCCTAGACTAACAAAACCAGAAACCGCGATGCTTAGATATGAAAAGAAAGCTGAATGAAAAACTGAATAGAAAATGAAAAAGGAAAATGATAAACTGGCTTAAAAAAACAAGACCCATACCGTCATGACCATAAAATAATAAACAAAAATCGAAAAATGAATCATACATGAGGTTCGCACCCATAGCTACCGATTTATAAAACCCAATCATACCGTAACCGCCAGCCCGCGACATGAACTCCACTAAAAAATAACCCGTTAAATAAAAAAAAGACGTGATATGCATGAGCAATTGTTAATAAAAAAATGGCAGTCATAGACACAGGGTGAGAAGGCCCTTGAGACGATTAATGTAGCTTTGGTTTTGGTATGCTTTTTGTTGCTAGTGCCAACTGGGAGGAAAGTTCATTCATATACGAATGAATCTGTTGCACGGTCGACCATGGACGACTTTCTCCTTGGTGTATGGTTGAGGTGTACTCCCGAAGAGGTAAAGCTGTGAGGATTATAGAGCGAAGCATTCCCTATGTTACCAAACATGGTGGAAGGCAAGTCGCCAGTAGAGCGACGAGGTGAAAGAGAAGACAGTCTCTCGGCAAAGTTCTTTTGGGTGTTCGACTCAATGATGAATTCCGATTCTATTTCCGGGGTAGATCTTCCTGTGGATGCCGAAGCACTTGGCGGCGGCGTGATAGTCTGTTGCTCGCTTCTTCCACTAAAGGCAGAGACGCTCTTGATCCTTTCTGAATTGGCCATGCCGTCAACTCCGTGCTGGAGAGCTTCTGGACTAAAGGCTCTTTGGTAAGCACCATGAAACCCAAGAGCCCTCTCAGATTGACTCGGCACCTTTTGATCTGGGACAGTCTCCAAATGAGATGGGGTCTTTCCCTTGCCTTTCCTATCGCCACTCTTCTTGACACCTGTTGACTTTGCTTTTTTGGTACCTTTTGTGTCGTCACCGCCTGAACTACCACTTCCCCCATCAGAACGCCTCCTCTTCTTTCCAACCGTACGATCGGGAATCCCTTCGTCTTCAGCACCTTCTTGATTATCATCACCACCAGCGTTGCCGTTCCCATTTTCGTCCCCATCCCCATCAGGTCCTCTGATAGGTATCGCCATAGTCAATTCAACATTCGGCAACAGCTCCACATCAGGAAACTTTCCACCATTCTCCTGCACTTCCACCTCGATCCTTTCGAGAAGCTTGTAGACATCGCTGATGGTCTTTTCCGTTCCAGTATGGCGCATGATCCAGTTGTTTCCACCGGTAGAGCTTCTACGCCTGGGAGTAGCGGTGCTGTTACGCCTACTGCTCTCCCCACTTGTTGGGCCCCCATCACCGAGCTCAATATCCTCGTCTCCGGCGATATGATCCTCAGCTTCCTCTTCATCCTCCAGTTCCTCTCCGTTTTCACCACCCTCGCGGTTCATCCGAAGTTCCTCACGTCTGCGGACCTTGATCACCCAGTCCTTGACTCCGCCCCAAAGCTCAAGACGTTCACATTGGCGTTTGACTAACAATACCTGCTGTCTAGCAAATCCCCTTGGGTTACGATATCTAGAACGTTGGTAATGTTTACGGCAGTAGTAAACCCAAACGTTTTTAGGGATCTGCCTTGTTGAAAGTTTGTTACGCCCAAAAATGTGAGATACCACCTTCCGAAGCGGGGAACCAGTGGTGCAGCTGGCGCAGTAAGAACATTTTGGCGATTGTACCAAGAAGTCATGTGGAGACGAGACTGTATGTAGTGGGCCGGTGCTAGAGTTAGTAGAAGGCCCAGCATCCATAGGCGGGGCGACAGGTTCCTGTCTAGGCGTGGCAGCCTCTGGTATTGGGAGGAACAAAGGAGTATCCCGGTTGTAAGCATGCTCATGAACTGATCTGGCTACTAAAGCAGATCTCTGGGCCTGGAGAGAACGGGAATCTCGGACATTGCTCATTGAACCTTCATCCTCAATAGTCCTTCCAGTCGAAGCCACGGATCCCGCAGAAGCGGGCCTCAGTTCAGGGCTAAAATTTGTCAGCACAGGTAAAAATACGAAGACCCTGGGCTGAGAACTTACTCAATATCCACCTGAAACGTTCTACTGCTATTAACAGGCATATGGTTTGATGAAGTACGAATATTATGGTCGGAATGTCTCAGTGAGCTACCACTACCTCTACGGCCAGCCAAAGCCTCTGCTGCCTCTACCTCGAGACTCCTACGGCCATGGACCGTAGAAGCTCCCATTGCTACTTCTGCAAAGCTCAACAGGGTATCATAAGGGCCATGGTTTTGCGGTGGGGGTGGATATGCGGAAGACTGATATTGCTGCTGCTGCTGCGTAAAGGCGACATACGAACTCGATGGAGATGAAGAGAAATAGCTGATATCAGACGTCTGATGGTGGTAATGATGAGATGTTGAGCGTGGTGACAAGGCAACTTCCGAAGAATTAGGGTTGGCAGAAATGGGGTGATTATTATTGCTTAAAGGTGGAAGAAGCCTTCCGGGGAAAGAAGAACCAGGGCTAATAGTAGATTCGTTTATTTTATCGTTTGTATAAGAATTCTCAGCGCTTGAAGTTGCATTAGAATGATGATGATGGGCTGCCATGGGAATCTCTAACGGACTGGTAGCAGCAGTTGACTGCAGTGAGGGCCCGCTGTAAGAACTACGGGAGGAGATCGTAGATTGGTTATTACTGTTGGACTGATAGTCTCTGTAAGCTGGAGTGAAATGATGTTCGTCTGTGGGGCTACGGGACTGAACAGGAGAATTTTCGATGTTCTGGGCCATATGATCCTGGGGCCTATTCTTGTAACCAGAGGTACCTCTAATGCTACTGTTACTGAAGGCAGTATCGGCGGACCTTTGGGGAATATTCGAAGATGGAGAATTGTTGAGAACAAAGTTGATATCCATGGTAAAGTAATTGACCTGGTTGAAGTGTATTTGGAAAGTTTAGCTACCGTTGACGTGGTGTTAAGACCGTTATGCCGTTGCCAGTGGTTGTTGACGGAGAATTTGAGTGGGCGACAGTTGCGTTTGCTCAGTGATCGTGACCTACGGGAGCTGTCGGTACGTGCCACGACGATCAGTGGGAAAACGCTGTGATGTGTTTGAGCGTTGATTGGGGGGGAAGGAATAAAATCGTTGGTGGATGAGATGGGTGGGAGAAGAAGCGGATGTCAACACGGGGTGCGTTATAAGGACTTGTTCCCAATGGATGGGATCCAATTCTATGTAGGATCGTGAAAAAGGGTAAGGCAAGGGTACGCTGAGCGGTTTCTACTGTAGGTAGGTGATGACTGTCTGTCTGGACGTCTGGATACCCGCCTCGACCAGCCAGCCAGAGAGAAATGGACCCAGGAAGCGAATTGGGTGGCGTTGAATAGACTCTTGATCTGGAGCCCCTCCCTACAAGGTAGTAGTAGCGGTAGTAGTAGTAGGTAGTAGTAGTAGTATGTCTCTCTTTCCCCCCTCCTCTCTATCTCTGCACAGTTCTTCTCCTCTGTATGTTCTTTCTCTGTCGTTATTCCTCGAGCTCTTTTTTCTCTTTTCTTTTCTTTTTCTATATTGCCTCTGCTTTTTCCTTTTTCCTTTCTCTTACAAGCCCTATCTGTCCCTGATGATGAGAATTCTATTTGGGCAGAGAAACAATAGGGCAAGGATTGAGAGAGAAAGATGGAAGTAAAAAAGGCACGAGTTCCCCGACGATAGAAGTGAGCGATGACGGAGAGGCTCGCTGACGCTGCACACAACCAACCAGATGCGGCAACACAAGCAGTTGGCAGCAGCACAGCAAGCAGCAACAGAGAGCAACAAAAAGGCAGCAGCAGAAAGAGGAGGGATTGAAATCCGCAGTCAAATCAAGTCAGGTCACCTCCCTCCTCCCCCCGCAAAATAAAAGATAGAATTGGGGGATCGGGATCTTTTTTTCGTGTGGGGGGGGGGGGGGGGGGGATGGTTGTTCAGCTGATGTGGGGACCCGTTTAAACTTCCGCTCGAGGACAACTGCTGCCCGTAATGCTTTCTAGAGGAATGATCGGACGACGATAGTAGCTTTCGCGGGAGAGCGAGAGGCGTCAGTGAGAAGTGGGAAGTGAGATCGCAGCCAAGAAGGAGCGAGAGCTGGCGGCGCAAGCAACGGAGATACCAAGTGCGAATGAGTGAGCAAGCAAGATTGGGCAGCAGGACGCAAATAATAGATTGAGTATAGTTATGGTAGGTAGTGATGCTGATGATGCTCCCGCCAGTGTACTTGCTAATGATGCTGATGCTGGTGATGATGATAACGGAAGCAGGGACGGTTGTTCATAGGAATTAACGAACAAGTGAATGGATCCCAATTCCAAATAAAAAATAATAATAATAAATTAATAAAAACAATGATATTAAGTTCATTGCGTTCGGGCAGAGACGTTTGGTCAATATTAGCATGGTCATATGTTTTTTGGTAACCTTTTTTTCTTCTTCCTCCCGCGGAGTTTTTTACTTTCTTTTTTCACTCGATTAATCCTCTTTACTCTTTCTTCACACAAATTGGTATATATCCAATCTTCCATTTCGAGTCTCTTGACATCTTCCCTCATAGAGTACTTGAATGGCTTGATTGCGAATCTCCTCCACCTCCTCTCTGCATCTCGACCCTCTCGTTCTCCCTCTAAGGCTTGCATGCGACTCAACGCACGACACCGCGCCAACTGCAGGCCAATAAACTTTATGAGATCCGCGCCAGTGCACGAACCAGTAACGGTCGCGCTGGCGATCCTAGCAAAGGGAAGGGAAGGACCCTGTAGGCTGTTCCTGGCGCTGCTCTAAGCAACCTCAAGAAAAGGCTCGGAAAATAGAAATGGCCATGGAAGAATACAAAAAAAAAAAAAAAACTCAACAGTGCCGCTGATCCTTTTGAGGAAGACAAATCAAGAAGGGGGGCAAAATAGGTTGTTAATCAAACAAGGCAACAGCAAGCAGGAGCAGCAAGTGCCTGTTGTTTGTTTGCTTGCAAAGTTATTACTTCTACTGCTGCTGCTGCTTCTTACTGCTGCTACCAGGGATGGGATGGGATGACTGGGCTCGTGCAGGAAAGCAAGCAAATGCTAACTGCTGCAGTGCCCGCCTGGAGGCAAAGGAAGGGAAAAAAAGTTCAAGGGTTGTGTGTTTGTGCCCGAAAACGATACCCTGGAGCTGTCCCCGTCTAGTCAAAATTAGGATAAGCGCTTCGAGAGCTTGGGCGGGGATGACGATTGGGGCCTTATGCGAGAACCATAGCTATGCGGGGAAGGAAGGGGCTTCCTCTACTACCGCAAAACTTCCCCCCAGAAAGAAACTTGGCCGGTAAACAGTCTGATCTTGGTTCAACCCTACATCCATCCACCCATTTTCCGCTACCACGGCGCGGCCGCTACTCCACTATTAGGTACAATCCTTAACGTACGGTAACTCATGACAGCGAAAAAGAAAAGAAAGGCGTTCTAAAGAAATAATTGAGGAATAGCTAACTAACTTTACGTTTTTCAAGACATACTTTACTCTAGGCAGGGGAAAGAAAAAAGCCACATGGCCGCTGACAATCCCAAGACGTCCACCTTAACTATACCCAAGAGAGTATAAAAAAGGTGCTCGGACGACATCGCGGGGTTACAGTACTTACTTGTGCGATGCGCGATGCGCGATGTGCGATAGCTAATTACAGATGCCGCTGTTGCAGTATGTATGTACATACAACATCCACAGGTAGGTAGTAGAGTAATCATAATAGTGGTGGGGATATGATTATCCTCGCAGTCGATCGAGAAAAAGAGAGTGAGGGCAAGCTCGAGAAGAACTCGATGAAGGGGGAAAAATCATGTACATACATACAGAGAGTACTTTCACAGTCTAGAGGAGAGGCAGCCTGCGTCCGCAACGACCAGGCTTTGGCGATTTTCTGCCGCAAAGATCAACCCGGTTTTGACCTGGGCAGAGTTGAGGGGATCTACTTTTTTTGCCCACCCTCAGTCATCTTCACTCCCGGCTCCTGTCAATTTTTTCCTTTCACCCCCCTTCTACTGGTGGGCCATGGGTAGCGCAGTTTACTTGAAACCTCGAAACACTCATTCCGAGAAGGTGAAAAGATAGGGTTTTTGATAAACATCCGTGTAATGCATAAAGATTTCCATCCCGACTGGATGAAAAGGAAAAGACCTCCTTTCGGCCTCCGGATCGCGCGGCCTCTGTCGGGTGATTCAAAGCGAAAGGCGCCGTTACATGAGGAATATATAAAGAACTGGCCTGTGCTGTCCAGCAGCTGTAAAGCACAGTCTGTGGTGGTAGTACGTCTACCTACTTTGGATCAAGCAAGAAAATATAGGATGAACTGGTCACTACTGTCATTTCGAACACCCCCTCCCCCCTCAATTAATCATTATCTTCCTCCTCTTCCCTCTTCCGCGTACCAGTCACCCCCTCCCCTCTCTTCGGCGCGGCACAACTGTGTCACGGTACTTCATCTACCGCTCTGGTTGTACGTACACATTTTGAATGTACCTCCTACCAAGTACTCTACTCTAATCGATCTAGAGTACGGTACATACAAGTTCGGCGTAAGTCAAACTTTGGGGCTTTGATCAGTAGATGTAGTGACTTCATGCACCCCTTGACAAGATGAGGCTCCTTCGTCCATCCCCCGGGGGGGGGGGGGGGGGGTTCCTATGGAGGATTGGTTTCTCGACCAATAGAAATGCTTGGTATATACATTAATACGTATCGATCAACCACAATGATGTAGTATGCCCAGGGTCCACTGGTAGTGAGCGCACACTCATGTTACTCTCTACTCACTGGCTAGCACGTAGGTAGTTACATCTTCACTGACTGCCTGGCGCTGCAACAAGCTGATATTTGCAAAACGCGGCAATTAAAAAAAAAATTCATGATCAGGGAACATGGCCCTTTATCGTCCGTATCGTGGTCGATGTACCGTACGTCGTATGTACGTCCCAACCTCAAAGCTCGCCTCCTCTCCCCAGGCCCTGGTCGCCGTTAAAGCGAAGTTGTCGTCTGATTGAATTCTTCTCGTCCTAGGCCTAGTTGGCCTGTGATCGTGAACCATATGAGTCCTCCATCCCCCTCCCAATTGAGACCCAACCCGGGTGGAGTAAAAAAATTATTCATCATTTAGGGTACAGATTTCTGTCTCTCCCTCTCCCTCTCCCTCTCCCTCTCTTTGACGACCATATTTGCCAAGGCTCTCCTCCCTCCCAGCTGAATTTCCCCTCCCATAAAATTGTTAAAAAAATAAGTGGTAGAAAATTCTCCGCGCGGATGACTCGTGGAAAATAGTCACGATCGATCGGGATTGAATTCAAGCTTAAGCTCAATGGTAACCAGCTGGGGCTGGCCGCTACTTTCCTGGGGTAACCGCGTGTGTACAAATATGTACGTACGTACGTGGTGGATGAAAAGCACCCCCCGCGGTGGAGGAGAGATGTCACGATACCTACCTACCTGGCTACTTAATTACGCTCCCAGCTACATACAGTAGTTAGTAGCATACAAAACAGAGCTGGTTAGTAGGTAATTGGAAAGTAAAATAGTCACACGCCTCTTTCCCTTCCTCTATTCTCAAGGAAAAATAAAATAAAGACAAAAAAGAATGAAAATGGATTCCCCATGCTAGGCAAGCCATATTAGACAGCCAACAAACAGCGGCAGCAGCAGCAGCGGGCAAAAGCAATCAATACTAGCAACGTGATCTGATCGGCCGCCGTCACAACTCTCTATCGAGTCTCCGCCGTTCGTCTTATTAACACTCCCCGTTACGGATGCGCATTCCCCACCCAGGCAGCAGCAGCAGCAGGTAGCTTTCTCTCTGGCCAATTTCTCATATAAGCCCAGCCCTGCCTTGTCCGACCCTAATCATGAACATGAGTAGCTAGAGGTAGCCAATGTACCGAGACACAGTACTGTTGGCTAGCTAGTTACCAATCGGTACCGGTCCGTTTGCGTACCACAGTGTACAGGTCGGAAAATAAAAGAATTTCGGACCACGAGTTCATTAGGAAGTGGAACTGGGGATTTGCCAATGGGTGATGTTTCAACCAGGAACTAAGCATTGGAATGGATTGTCATGTCCGGCCGTGCGTAGGATAGAAATTCTAGGGCTTGCAGGCCATGACCACGCGCGGTTCCAAACTGGTTAATGGTTGGGTGCATAACTGACTTAATTAGGTAGTGCTCTGTTACTATATATTGATATATTGTTTAGCTGTGTTTGTCCCATGAAGGGTGAACTAGAGATTAATATCGGGAGAGGTTATGAGGTGAGGCGGAGGAGGGTGAGGGGGGGGGAGGGTAGAGGGGGGGGGGGGGGTATTGAGAGGGGTGAGGAGGTTACGGCCTGGTCTGCCTGTCTTTAAACAGTTTGTACATACTGTTTCCAGGCCCGATCTGCAAAATACAAACTCTCTTCTTTCTCCGCCTCCTACCATTCGCTGATGACGCAGGCTAGGGATAACTGAGTATCGAACATGTTGTGAGGGGCCGTCCGGGAGGGGCATGAGAAGAAAAAACAATCTCGTCCGGAAAAACCTGATGGGAGTTAATGAAGCTGGCTGGCTGACTGACTGACTGATTGACAGGTCTTACTTAGGTACGGGTAGAGTAGAGGAGACGAAAGCCGGTTCTGTAGATTGTGTAACTCCGGGATTTGTTTTTTCCTAGCTGGCCCTACAAGCATCTATCATAAGTTATCATCTACCAGGGAGGGTGGGACAGCTGAAATCTCGCCTCGTTAATTTTGACGATAGCCATGGGTTGCCGAGGCTTGGTATTTTGAGAAGTGAGCATGAGCATGAGCGTGGTGGTATTGATACGACCGCCTCTCTCATAATTTCATGTTCTATTGGAATGAAGTGTGTGTGAGCTTTATGAGTGGATACGATATTGCTAGCGCTTTTAATTTTTCTCTTTCTCTCTATTCTACTCTACATGGTTGCAGCAGCTGACTGGATGACTGACAGACGTGCGAGTATATTTATGCGTAACTACACTTTACTTCAGGTAACTTACTCCATCATGTAGTTATTCTGTTTCAGATATCAAAAAACGGAAAAGTCGTTAGGAGCAGTTGCAGGGCTGAAGGGTGGAAAGAAAGAAAGCAAAAAAACCAGTTTCTCAAAGATATGTCCTGAAACATGGGTTTCGGAGAGACGCGGTTGGTGGTCGGGGATTAGATCTCGCGCCGCCTCACCATTCAGTGTCCGCACTCTATCCCCCCTGTCTACACCATCATCCCCGCCGGTGACATAAACCATCGTTTTGAAAAGAGACAGAAAGAAAAAAAACGCACACCGACCGACCAACGACGATCAATCAATCTGATTCATCAAACAACATCAAAATACCTAGCCGATACTCAACAGTACGGTAGATAAAATGCTCCCCTCGATCCGTGTCTATCCCCTCCCCCCCCCCTTTCTCTCCAAACACCATCCAATCAAAACCCGAAACCCATGAAGAGCATCTGTTCAATTAACTCTACAGCACTGCCAACCCCGGCCTCGACAGTGAGGTCTCGTGGACGCCATCGGTTCCATAACCATTGGGCCGTTGTTGCGGCGCGCCCATTCATGCCCAATCACTCGTGCACAGACCAACAACGCACGCACATCCCACCATCCTTGACCCCAGCAGCGGCATATGTACATACTCTACAGGCTACATACGCCAGCTATCTGCACACAATTTTTTTCCGGCCCGTCCTCTCCTCTCTCTGCTAACTACAGAGAGAGTAGTGAGTGACTGAGACAACGAGGGTCCTGGAGACATCTGATCATGAGGCTATGGTGCTAAAGCAGCGATTGGGTGCAGATGGGGAGAGGTACCTAAGGTTTGGGCCGGATGTGTGCCTAAAGTGCGCCCGCCTTCCTACCTGGGTGGAAAGCTGAAGATTTTATAAGTTCGTACAGGTACATATGCGGACGTCGAATATTTTTCATTCCCAGTATCAGTTCGCCTATTTGACTGCACTGTTGGGGTATTAAGCCAGGTGGACCGTGTATGCAATTAATTGAGACTCCTCTCGGTATCTAGCGTCGTTCCAAGTGGCGAAAAGGAAAAGGGAAAAAATAACTTTGGATGAATCAACCCCAATATGGCGCGGGTCGAGAGCAGCGACTAATCATTGCATGGGTTCATCATGAACTATCACTCATGGATCTGCGACAATCAAATTAGATCCCCAGATTCTCCCCCTTACCAGCTACCCTATCTTTCCATATCCCTATCTTACCCTGCCCTACCATATCTAATCCCAATCCCTGGCTCCTTTCACTGCTAAGACCTCAATCTTTTATCTCCGAGTGGATTCCGACTAGCACATTTCTCCTTGATATGATAGTGGCGCATAGGTTGGTCAGCCAGGCAAGCAGGCAGAATTGTCCCCTGGATCTTAAGCTCGCATTCAAAATAGATCTTAGACATCAGCCCCGGCCATAGTTGACGTCCCAGACAATGCGGAAGTGCCAGTGACAGTGCCAGTTGTTGCACAACCATGGCAGTTAGCTGTAGGTCGCGGTACACGGTAGGACAGGTATCAGTCAAATTCGATCTATTGATTCCTGATCCAGAAAGGAAAAACATCGACAGAAACCATTTCTCAACATTGACCTATAAGTACGGTAGATCCTATCTACAAGAGCCCAGCTCCACTATTTTTACCGCTAACCAAGGATTGAGTCTAACAAGGAAGCTAGATAGAGACCAGGGGGAGCTTCGTCCGATTTTAATCGAGAAACCAGATTAGACAACACAGAGAGGAACAAGGCTTATGAAAATGCCTTTGGCCACCTGTCCAGTTGAAACGCAGGACGGCCGAAAAACGAAACACAAGGTTTGAGCTTGGGCCCGGAAAATGTCTGGCCTTCTCTAGCTGCTGCCACCCGGGCCGCGATATATAGGTTATTTTCTCTGAGGCAATCGAGGAACCTAAAATAATCGAATTTCCCCTTCCAACCCCTTCCATATCAACCACGGCCACCCTTACTGGCGGTTAAGCGGTATCGCTCCACGGGATACCCGGACACCTATAAGCTAGCCGCCTAGCACATACAGTATATTTAGCTGTTTCTCAGGAGTCAGGAGTGCTTAAGCAAATCTTTTTTAGTCTTTTCTGCGACCGTGGCCTTACAATAGTCAGCGTCACACATAGTGAAAAAAATCAAAAGCGGGGTAAATTATTCTCTTGAGGTCACAGCTGTAGTTGTAGAATATATCGGACCCTTTCACAGCATTAATCACAAGATTAAATTGCAAAATATCTTCCACGGGGATTAAGTGATGTGCCGTGGTTACCCATCCATTTCTTGGACAACCTCGAGTATTAAATGGATTAACCGAAGGTTTCACTGTGTTATGGACATAAGCCATCACTCGTCTGTTCATCCAAAGTTGGGCCTAGATGGCCATTTCCACTCAGACCACCGATAGGGAGGGCCGTAGGACAAAAATTTGCTCGCCGAATTAACTCAGACCTGCGTTTCAAAATCTTAATAAGGTGTTTAAACCTCCTAGACCATACCATCTGTTCTGGAAGTTGTTTTGTGTCCTTTGTACAAATCACTTACGTACATGCATCCGCATGATGTGTTTCCGCCACTATCTATTGCGCAGGTCATGGTTATTAATCATGTCAACGTGATCGTTGGTTGCGTGGGGAGTTTCGTCCTGTTTATCGAGTGATCTCTCATGAAACACATGGTTCCTTCGTGATAGGTTCAAATGCACGTAATTTGCCGACCTTTTTACTTATTTTTGCACAAGCGCATAAGCTATTTCTACTTCAGGGGCTTTACAGGACCTAAGAACGGGAATAGTTAACATTACAAGCGAACAGATATGAATGCACGTACCCCGGCTTTCTTTGGAATTCCACTTTTCAGCTCCAGATACGAATCCGAGTGCGTGAAGGAGGTGGAAAGCCATCATGTATGTTAACTAAATCGTAAGTATATACGCAAGTGTATAAGGAGCCCTGTACCTATGGTTAGTCGAAGAAACCTCCTATGCAACTATGAGACCGAATGGGCCATGGCTGAGCCCGCCCTCCTTTATCAGGGGTTCATCAATTGCGAACCCACTCGGCCCGAGTTCACAGATCAATAGCTTTTTCACGTATGTCCTCCTTATCAGATAGGGTGTCGGTTCCTGACATCAGAGAGTAAGCCTCTTCCAGAAAATGCTAGCCGCGTCGCTTGCTGCAGGGGACGTTGCTCTGGGAAGGGCCTGGATTCGCTGTATGTCTCAACCGTACATACGGACGATCTACGAAACATCTCTTTTTGCCTTGGCCCCCACATAGTGGGCCATCACTTAGTCTCCGTGAATCATTTTTTCGGAATATTTTTCTAGGATCTTGCTCTACTGCTCACTACAGTAGTATTATCAATAAAGAGGCTCGATCATTGCAATTCCTTACTGGACACTAGTTGTTCGTCATTATTGGAAAAAGCAAACGGAATGTCGCTTTCCTTGCTTTCTTACCCCTTTGCAATATGTACAGTGACTGTACATAATATCCTTCCATCGAGGATCAATGTCGCCATTGCATCGCATACGCGATCTGGGGAGCGGATGAGATATGTGACCTGCACATGCTTATTAACGACATATATATAGGCAAAAGCTCGACCATGAGAGTTATCATCATACTCACCTGTTTAATGAATATCCGCGCAGAAGCTCAAAGGATGTTCACGAGCAGTTTTGAAACAGGGAACCATCGGGAGATTAAATCTCTCGCACGAGAAGTTCTGTTATAACCTTAATTCGCGCTCAAACATGCTATCTTTGCGGCCACGTACTTCATGCTTAAGAAACCTTTAGCGGTTAGCTCAGGGATAGCGTTTTAACGAAACCAATGATTGTTGATCATTGCATCGCCACTCTATCAATTAGGCCCGTGTTCTTGGAGCGAGCTAGTTGAGGCATGACCGCGATGCGGAAGAGAGAGAAGGAGCAGGAGCCCAGAAATTGTACTGTGTTAGTGGTTCTCATACAATAGCTACCTCACAGATAAGGTATACGGGTTCTATTATAGAGGTGACCTTATAGTATGACAAATGGCATACTCTGAATGGACCTTCGGTCCAGACTCGTAATGATTATAGCCGTCATATTCAACTCCTTGCTTATATCTCTACAGTATTAGTCTCACAAGACAGAAGCATTAAGTCATTGCAAATTGTAGCTAGTTTCTTAAACTCCCTTATATAGTTCAGACTGTGAAGCGTTATATACAATTTATGACTGAGAAGTGGAAATTATATACTTGATTGAATGCATAGATTGAATAGACCAGCCTTTCCGAAAACCACAATCTAATTCTACGTTACCAAAATTAAAGACAAATTTCTATATATCCCTGGTCCATGTACGTGGCATTTTTGATAGTCTCGTGGCCTTAAGCATAGGACATCACTCGCATCAGGCATTTTTTTTCTTGATCTTGGTTGACAACATAACACACGATTTCAACTACATAGGTTATTTCATTTATTCTTATAGTTAACGTAAGTCATAGAATATTACACTCCTTGTTCAATGTTCTGAGATGGAGCCGAGTTCATAAAGCTAGGAGGTGATAGCCTAGTGTAGTACGTAGCCCATGAACCGTCTCAGGCAGAGTTGCGCCCTGCTTCGAGATACCTACCTCAAGAGAGACGTGAATTATCTAGTCTCTGTGGAACTCATCTAGCAGCAAAACCACCCTAGTTCTTGATACTGGAGGGAAAACCAGCTCCACCAAGCCCGCATTAGAATATATCTACAGAGGTAATATTTAGTTACCTGGTTGAGTGAGGGAAACCTCAACAGCCCCTGAAGCTTTCAAGAACCCCTATAATGTTTCCTATGAGCTTGCATAGAGACACAGGCTTGCCCCATGTCATTCAATAGCGATGATCGCTTAGGCTCGTCTCGTCACTTCTCATGAGCCCAGGCCCAAGACTTATGCGAGTGATATCTTATGAAGGGGCCGAGTGTATTCTTATGCGGGCGTCCTTGTCTTCTGGACGCTAGCCACCCCAAAAGGTAGAACTTTTGGATGCAAGCCTCCTATCGGTCCCTCGGATAAACCCAGAGACAAATAGGGGACTGTGCAACCCCCGCGAGGAGTGAAGTAGAAGGAGCAAAAAAAAAAAAAAATGGGTGCTCGAGAGAGTGAAAGACTCGACGAGAGGGGAGGGCAGTGGAATATATGGACCCTTTTCGGCCCCTCGGACAGCGCCCAGGGACAAGTAAGGGTCATACTTCCTCTTTACAGAGGAAGCAACAGCGGGGACGAGAACAATGGTAGGGGAAGCGGTGGAGGGGGGGGACGGAGGGGTATATAGGCCCCTCTCAGCCCCAAGAACATAACCTAGAGACTAAAAGGGACCATATCCCTCATGTAGAGGGGAAACAGCGGGCCAAGCCTGGTCCCTCAGGCAGAGCCCAGGGACCAATGGGGTCATCCTCCCCGTGGGGAGAGGGCCGCAGCGGGGAGAAGGAATACGGCCCCTGGGACAGAACCCAGAGGCCAACAGAGTCCCCGTTGTCCCTCTGTGGAGGGGCATCGGAGGGCCTGAGGGTTGCGATTCCTGGAACAAAGCCCAGGGACCAGCCGACAGAAGCCCTGCTACCCCTCCACAGAGGGCAACAGTGGCCCAAAGAAGTCGGTCTCTGGGGCCTACCCCAGAGACCAACAGAAGTTGTGTTACCCCCCTCATGGAGGGGCAAACACGGGCCGGGGAAGATGGCCCCTGAGGTCAGGCCCAGGGGCCACTAGAAGCTGTACCCCTCCATTGCTGGGCTGGCTCCAGGAACGGAGGGGAAGTTGTACTTCTTCCCCGCGGAGGAAGCACAGAAAAAGGACTAGGTGAGGGGGAGGGAGAGTCGCTCGCGAAGCGGACAATTATCCCATGGCCCCTATCCCCATGGCCTCATCTATGTTTCTGGAAGAAGAAGAAGGGAGAGATGAAGACGGAGAAAGATCGGGTTTTATAGCGGTCCAGCTGATGGTTCCAAGGTTCAATTTTCGCCGATATGTAGGCGCCTTTAAGGTAGCTACCCTTCATGCTGTAATTCAGGTATACAATTAATGAATTATCAACCAATCAATCCTGTAATTCAGTTATTTCACGAGTGATGGCCTGTGATGGACACAGCCACCTTCCTCACTAATAAGAATGGAATCTACCCGGTTAGTAAGTCGTTCGGAATCTCAATAAGTTATGAAGCGGGCCCTCCAATGAACGTGACCCGTAAATTCGCTTTATCTGAAGAAAAGAGCCTTTGGAATTTTCGCGATGAACCTAGCTCTAGGCCGGAACCTTAAACTTTGAATCTCAATCGCTGGCTCGTCATGAAGGTACTCGAAAAGCTAGTACCTTACAGCCGTTTTTATAAAACTTGGCCGCGCCAACTTTCACACACATTATATAGTACCTCAAACCGATTACTCAGATAGGCAATTCATATTGCCTAAACAAGTATCTGAGATTATACTTCCCAAAGGGTTCCCTAACAAGGCAATATGTACGTGTGAAAGTTCGCCCGGCCAAGTTTTATGAAAACGGCTGTAATGAAGCGTGCCTGTCCTCCAGATGTACACTCTAGGTACGATGTAATCTCTGAGAAGATGCATTCGACACAGACCGATTCCAAGCATTTTGATATGATACCTAGTATTTTCGAAGAGCGGTACACGTGCTGTCATAAGATTGACAGGGGCAATGTTAACCCAAAAACTGAAGAGACAGACTATTATAACTTTCGACGGGGAGTATGTAGTAAGTGAATCAAAATGAACCACACATCAAAACCGTCCATCGAATCCAACAGGCCGGCAGTGTGATCTGGTAGAGAACGCTATCGCCACTCTCTTTCGCCGCGGCTAGTCCTGTATTTTGTTTTCCTCGTCTATTTTCCTTTCTGGAAGACAGCGGATGAGGGGATCAGGCTCTCCCAGCTGCAGCGTCTTGAGCTATGGTTAATACTCCAGCAGACGCATGAAAGCATAAAAAAGAGAACGAGTCTTTATGCGAGGAACTGGCCGTAGTGCAAGAAAGTGTTTGAAAGTGGTGGCCCGCAGCGCTCGTGGCTAGGTACGTCCGGGGGTGAACGCGATCGGTTTGCACCGGAGATTCTTTTAAGGACTCCTCTCCAATTGCTCGCCGCCAAGATTCATCGAGATTACATTCACTTCCTGACTGAGTTGATCTGTAGCTCGAACCGCATCAATTGGTTTAAAGTCTAAAGATACCACCGAGCGAGTGATGCCTTATGATTCCCAAGCGAAAGATGAAGCGCCTCTAGGGAGAAAATTCGGTAGATACACTAGTGCATACCGCAATGAAAGCAAAATCGAGGAGAAGGAAAGGGATGCGGTAGGTATGGGAGAGATATAGGGCTCGGTGGTCGGGGTTTAGTAGCGCGAGATCGATGTGTTCTAGATCTACACATTTAGGACTTAGGAGGCCGTGTGTTTGGCCCTTTGCCTCATTATCTCCTTCCCGTAAGAAATCTCTTCATTTCTCTTCAGTACCACAAATCCCAAGTTTTACACGATGCCCCTATGTTGGCGGTTGAAACAACGACTAATCGAATCACAGGCCATCACTCGGATTTGTCACACCTTTTCCTCGGGGAATTTCCCGCCAAAAGACGACCGGCCCGGTGGGTTTATTATCGTGTGGATGGGGTAGACCTTGAGAAGGTGATACAGGTACTAGGGCTACTCTATTGCTGTGCCTGTCTGTATAGGAGATCCCTGCAGGTATTTGAGGCAGGGGGTTTAAGTGGGTTTAAGTTTAGTTATCGTGAAGTCTTGATGGAAGACTGGCAGGGTGAGTGCTTGATTACTAGCGAGAGCTCTACTCTGAGTAATTGATGAGCGTTACCCCAGGATTGGTGCATGTCGGGTTTATAATTGCCGGTTCCAGAGGAGGAAGTTTAGCTTGCTGGTAGACTAACAGGGGTATTGGGACGTGATAATAGATGTCCCAAAAGGTGCGTCCTAAACCACAAGTAATATTACAAGTATTTTGGTACATATCGTTACTAAAAAGAATTCCCGTCAATGATCTCAATATAAAGGATCGCTGAGGATACGCACTTCTAACTGCACAGCCCGCTCGAGTTTCGGAATTCGGATAGAATAGTAGGTTGCATAGCCCACTCTGTCTGTCTATCCGCTGGGATAAAAACAGCAGTTATCCCGGATGTAGGACCAATAATTTAACCCCGCATGATGATCCTTAACTTTAGTAGAAGTATCAATCATGCATGTCGGTATTCCCCAGGGGTAACTATGTAGTCATTTACACGTAGATGGTATAGAACCACAATAACAGTGGGCTAAATGCCTATAAAGAAGCCCCAAGCCCCCCCCCCCCCCATTATCAATTCCGCATATTCCAAAAACAGATTCTGGAAACTCACCTCAAAAAATGCCAACTATAAAATCCTTTTTCACGCTTCTCCTTCTCCCCCTCCTACTTTTCACCACCTTCGCCCACGCCGCCAGCCCCTCTCTCGATGGCGCCGCCGTTTCCATGGGCGGAGGAACCTACCCCCGGGCCACACGCCTGAGCGACAATTCCCTACTAGGAGTCACCACCACCTTCTCCTCCGGCACCAACATCATCACCATTGTCCGCAGCACTGACGACGGCCTCACCTGGACCCCCCACGGCGAGGTGACCCGCGGCGTCGGCGACATCGACAACGGCTTCCTCCTGCAGCTCCCCAACGGCCGCATGCTCTGCGCCTTCAGGAACCACTCCAAGGACGCCGCCGGCGCATACACAATCTACCGCATCACCGTCTGCGTGTCCAGCGATAACGGCAAGACCTGGGCATACCTCAGCACCCCCGAGACCGCCTCGCCGCCCAACGGCCTCTGGGAGCCGTTCATGCGCATCGGGAACGACGGCCGCATCCAGATGTACTACTCGCGCGAGCTTGCTTCAGACGACCAGGACAACCTCGTGCGCTTCTCGTCTGACGGCGGCGCGAACTGGAGCGCCTCGAGCGTCATCTCCGGCTCAGGCATCACCTCGCGCGACGGCATGGTGGGCGTCGCAAAGTTCAACGACGGCACCGACAGGCTCATTGCCGTGTTTGAGACCACGGAGGGCGGCAGCGCGACGGGCCCGTTCAAGATCAAGGCTGTCACGTCTTCGGACGACGGCGCAAGCTGGGGGAACCGCCAGGCAGTGTTTGAGGCCACGGGGTCAAATAATAACGCTGGGGCGCCGCAGGTGGCGAATGTGGGTGGGAACCTGGTAGTGAGCTTCATGACGGATGAGGATACGGGGCTGCATCAGTGGGTTAGTGGGGCGGCGGCGAAGATTATGGTGTCGGCGACGATGGCGGAGGGGTCGGTGACTTGGGAGAATAAGTTGACGGTGGGCGGCGTGCAGTCGAATTGGCCGGGGTTGATGACGATTGATAATAGCCATGTGATGGTCATGTATGATAATGGGGGTGCGAAGAGCCAGAGGGTGGTGCTGAAGTAGATGGTGGATTCGCTGCTGCTGGTGGTAGTGGGGGCTGTATGTAAACTGTGATGAGTATGTAAAGTCTAGAACAAGAGGGTGGCCAGTGGGTCATGATATACGTCGTGGTGGATTGTGATTGCAGGGTTAGGTGCCCCCATAGCTCACTTTGCCCTCCCTCCGTTGAATATTACTTCCCGGCCTTTGACAGTTGTGTGGGCGAGGTAGTCTAGTGGTAGACGCCTCGTCTTGCTACACCGAGTGGGTTGTTCCCATAACCTTCATTAGGTCATTGGTTCAACTCCGGGGGTGGGAGTAATGCTCTGGGGTGTACGGCATGTAACGGGGAGTAGAGTCCGATATACCGGGGGGTGATCTAACTAAGATCCTACCGCGAATTAGGGCCTATAGCCCGTGAGGGGCGTATGGTCACAGCATTACTTTTTGTGTATTTATTGCCCCCATTATTTTCTTTTTTCTTTCTTTTTTCTGAGGGGTCTGAGGGCCTTAATGGGGTATGTGTGATATTGACTGGAGCTCTCTCTGGCCAGCCTACAATTGCAGATTGAACTATCTTAGCTTCTTGCTCATTATTTGGCCAATTGGTCTCCCCATGGTCAGGGCCGGATGTAGGATTAGGCCGGTTTAGCGAAACCTTTTCAGATCATATATTCTTTTATAGTATAGTAGATGCTACACTGGTATGTATATTGCAAAAGTAGAATTGCAGGTATTCCTGAATTAATCACACCAGCAAGATAATATTGGGTTAATTAACGGTCGTCCCCAAATATGCAGATCGAACGTACCCTCCAAGACTTCTGTGGTCCGTTCATGTGCAACTTGGCACCTTATGTTGCGTTCTCAATCATTGACCTACACGTTGTGGGGCAGAGCATCGGACCAGGTGTTGAAACCCGCTGCAACGGTAACATGGTTGTAAGCGGTTAAGGAATGTATGTGTTAGTTTAGAGCTCTGTATATAAGGTAAGGCTGCGGCGACCGATTAATCCAATTGAACCATCGTTCCTTCCATCCTCCACTCGTCCGAGAGATTAATCCAGATTTCACGTACTAGATAGCTAGACGAATCCGATCACCACCAGCTTGAAAACGATTGCGCAGAGACGCCGGATTCCTTCTATATCTCTTAAATTAAACAAAGCATTGCCGATGATGAGCTGTACTTTCTCTGCTGGGTCTGTCCCGTTACCCGCTATTGAAGTGTACACGTGTTCCGTAATCGGTCCACGATATGGGATAGATGATGCCAGTAAGGACACCACACGACGCAATACGACACGGGCCCACGAGAACGAAGCATGTGTACTGGGGCCATGTTAGCTAGTTTTGGGGCCAGGGTCGGTCCTCCCCCCCGGTGCCAATCTCCCATCCACCCTTTTCAGCATGCCACCCTCGGTTGGATTTGAGGATGGGGACCGAGGATCCGATACTGATAAATCTGCGGAATTCTTGGTTGAGCTTTTACTCACCCTCCTTTCTCTATCCTGGGCGTCTATCGCGTCTATCCTGCCGGAGGGTTGCGGTATATATGGGCATTGGCTAGCTTGAATGCCTTTACAAGCGTAGCTACAGGATAGGCCTAAGTCCGTCATCTCTACGATACTTATTCTTCAAGACTTTGATGGCTACGAGACGGGGACGAAAGTACGGGATGAGATGGCTACTTCCATCCACCGACTGAAAAATCGACAAGAACTAGTACCGTAGGGCTGGGTTGGCGCCGAGATATCACCACTTGGCACATCGCGCCGAGTGATACAGCGTGACTCACTCCCTCCCACCTCGAACCGAGTGATGGCCATGACGCAGCGCACCCCTCATCACCACCACGCCATCCACCGCCCATTACCCGCTATCGCCCATCAGATCACCATTCCCGCCTCCGTCTCCACCACAATCTCCCCGACCATTCCTTCCTTCGCTCCCTCAAACAAACAAACAAACAAACAAAAATCCCACAGACCACCCCATTCCCAGCCCTCCGCAGCACGCGCGTACACCACCTCCCACCTATCCAACCCTGCACACCGCATAACTTTTTCCCACTCTTCTTCACATCTTCGCCTTTCCTCACCCCCGAACACCGCACGCGTCGCCCTCCGCCATCAACCAACCCACCAACCCACGACCAGCAAATGTCAACAACAGTCGCAGTGCACGTGCCGGCGTGGAAGAAGATTGGCTTGAAGCTCAAGAAGGCGGGCGATGAGCCGGAGGTGAAGGACGTGGTGCCAGCGGCGGCGGTGAAGGACGTGCCGGAGGTGAAGGCGCAGGACGACAGCGAGGACAAGAAGGAGCGCAAGCGGAAGAAGAAGGAGCGCAAGGAGAAGGAGAAGGCGGAGGCGGGGTCGGCGGACAAACCGGCGGCGGCGGCAGAGGACCAGGATGCAGCGAAGGAAAAGAAGAAGAAGAAGAAGAAGGATAAAAAATCAAAGTCCTCTAGCACCTCCGAGTCCACCACCCCCGCCGCCCCCTCAACACCCACCCCCACAATAACAACAACAACAACAACCGCCACTCCAAAACCCGCCGGCGGCGCCGACCCCAAATCTCTCCTCCTCCGCCACCCGCGCGCGCCCCCAACTTCCCGCAAATCCGTCACCTTCACCTCCGACACAAAGGCCACCGACGGCGACTCCATCAAGACGCTCTACCAGAACCACGACCCCTTCGCGCACTACGACTCGTACCAGCAGCACCTCGCAAACTACCCCCCCGCCAACGAGCTACCCGCCGGTTTCGACGATGCCGTTGAGCCCAAGGGCGCAGAGATACAGTACAAGTTCGGGTCCACGGGCAAGAGGAAGAAGTTTACCGACGACGACGAGGAGGATGCTGCTGCTCCTTCTGGGGCTTCTGTCGGGGGTGTGAAGGATGCGATTTCGGCGACTACCACCACCACCACCACCACCACCACCACCACCACCACGTCAAAGGACAAGCAAAAGAGGGAGAAGGAGAAGAATGCGACCGAGAAGAAAGACGACCCCACCACCGCCCCCTCGCCCAAAAAGCGCAAGACCAACTCCGCCGCCCCCGCCAAGCCCTCCACCGCCCCCACCACAAACACAAAGCCCTACCTCCACTACCTGACCGCCCACCACCTGCACCGCGACACCTGGAAGTTTGAGAAGAGCAAGCAGAACTGGATCCTGCGGCACGCCTTCGACACTGCGCAGATCCCCGACACGCACGCTGACGCGCTGCGCGGGTACATCTCGAGCGTGCAGGGCGCGGCGGCGCGCGATCGGCTGCTGGAGGCGGCGAACGAGGTTGTGAAGCGCGGGAGCGACACGATTAGTCGTGATGGGGAGAAGGTGGATGTGGTTAGTCAGAAGGAGGGCGTGGGGAGGGCGAAGCTTGTGTTGGCGGCGTTGGGGCACGGGGAGGATGAAGATGAGGAGGAGGAGGAGGAGGGCAGTGGTAGTGATAGTAGCGATAGTAGTGATAGTAGTAGTGATAGCGACAGTAGTGAGGGTGAGGAGTGAAATTTCATGGGTATGGGTTATGGGCTTCCTTCTTCTTCTTCTTGTTTTTCGTGCTTTCTTTATTTTACTTTTTTTCATTGGGCATGTTGCATACTTCATGATATGTGGGAGAGAGGGTTAAGTTGTACTTACTGCGACTGCTGCTACTGCTGCTACTGCCGTGGCAGCTGGTCCTTTTGACGGGTTTATAGACCTGCTCTGGGGGGTTTATTGCTCTTCAGATACTGTACTTACTGCTGCTGCTGCTGCTGCTGCTGCTCATAGTTATAGCGAGAGATTCCAGCAGAGAGATATATGGCTAGGCTAATTGACTGACACACACACACACACAATGCGCACAAACTGTTCAGATAGGAAATAGCAAGAGGAATTCAGGCCAAAGAAAAAAAGATAATAATAGTAGTAAAGAAAAATGAAAAAATACAAGTGTTGTACATGACCGGCTCACTGCCACCCCACCTTCCTCATGCGCACCCGCCCCACCTCCACACCCGTTCCCGCACCCGCACCCGTGCCCGTGCCCACACGTGCAACCCCATCCTCACCACCACCACCACCACCACCACCACCACCACTGGCAGCCCAATCATTAACACCAGCCATCCCCCTCCGATGACACTCCATCTTCAACTCGCTGTCCACCACCGTGCCCTCCTGTCTTGTCTTTGCTTTGCTCACCGTAATCGGCGTCCCCAAGAACTCGGCCACATTAATCTCCGTCACCACCGTGCTCGGACAGTACTCCATCTCCCTCAGCGCCGGCCAGACCTCCCCCCGCCGCATGATCTTGAGCAGCATCTTGTTGTGCGACCAGCCCGGGCAGAAAAACACCAGTCTCTGCAGTTTCGTGCCGGGCGGGAATGCCGCCTGCCACGGCGCGAGATCAGCCATGGACGCATCGTCCTTGTTGAGCATGATGATGCCGGGGTCGGGCCTGTAGCGCAGTGATATGCTCAGGCTGTGGAGATCCGGCATGAGGGCCAGTGTCCGGGGGAGCCATTTCTCCATGATGTGTGCGTAGTGGCCCTCGCTGGATATTGAAAAGCTCCGCAGCTTCGACCCGCCCTCCGCGTCCGCCTTCAGCCACACCCACAGCTCTGTCAGCTCTTGCCGGAGCGGGCCTGCCCGATCTCCGATGTCAATCTCCACGCCCAGCTCCGTCAGCCTCCCCTTTGGCACGCACCGCAGCACCCGCAGCGTCGAGCTCTTCAGCGACAGCGACTCCAGCACCCCCAGGCATGCAATCGCCCTCCCGCCCTCCTTCTCCGCCTCTCCGCTCTCCTCCGCCATCGCACGGGGGTAATAGAACTGGCAGATCTCCAGCCGCCGCAGCGCCTGCCAGCCCATGTGGAATCTCCGAAAGGCCGGCACCCGAATGTCCATACAACTGGATACCCACGACCACTCCACCCACGCTCCATGCGCCGCCAGCACCTTCCACAACTTCCTCTGCTGTGTCAGCACCCGCGTCTGCCGCCCGCGATACAGCGTCCCGCGCGACATAAAGTTCAGCGCATCCTGCTTCAGCGACTCCAGGTACGGGTCCAGTGGCGCAAAAAATATACACGGGTCCCCGACGACCCTCGCCAGCCCCGAGCATAACGATATCAACTTTGTCCACAGCGGTAGGTGCTGGTAGTCCAGCGATATGCGGTGGTGCATGTCGATCTCCAGCACGCGGAACATACACGCCAGCTGCGGGCGCGCCGTGAGTGTCCGGAGAAGCGGCTTGAGGTAGCGCTGGGAGAGGTATGTGGTGCGGCGCGCCCACCAGTATTTCCCGTCGCCCCAGGCGATGCCGCGGTTGTGGTACTCGCATACGTCGTCGAGGGAGAGCTTGAGCGTTGTGTAGAGCAGCTCCGTGGCGGGGCCGTTCCAGGAGCGGGAGGCCAGTGCGATGCTGTGGAGGTTTTTGAGGTAGCAGAGGGAGCAGTAGGTGCGGTGCATTGGGTCGCTGGGCAAGCGCTGTTCGTCGAGCGCTTTAAGATACGACAAAACCTGGTACGTGATCTCCGGCGGCAGGTGGAACATCGTTCTGGCACCATCATGAGCATCGTTACCACCGCGGCCGTGCGAGCGGGTCAGGGCTGAGAGTATTAATTCTGCTTGATGTGAGAATTTGCACGCTTTCACGACGTTAGGATGCAGAGGCACTCACTTCTACGAGTAGGGGCGGGAGTAGGAGGGTGTACTCTGAAATGTTTCACGGCATCAGAGTCGAATTTAGTAGAGTGGGTACTGGTATTAAGCTGGAGGAGTACAAAGGCTCCACGATTGAGGACGCGCTTCTCGCGCGGAATGTCTTGGTAGTACTCGAGATGGGGGGAGAGCTCTTGGTCGCTGTGCGGTATCGGGGGCATCGCGCTCATAGTGGAACGTAGGCTGTTGACGATCCGGACGCTTACACTCATGCTGTCCTCACATCGCCACCGCTGTGGGGGGAGCGGGGAGGGCTACATATATATGGCTCACTACTTAGCCAATGAGCCAGAGGATAACAAAGCTCATAGTCATATTGCTTTTCAGCATTTCCTGAGCACCGAGTGGACGCCTTCTTAGCCCGGCCCACTCGTCGTAATATGCCCAAGGTGCCAATGATGGTTACACCAGGAAACCAACACCTTCGGGGGGGGGGGGGGGGGGGGCGGTGATCAAAATGACTTCACTTGGGGCTTAAATAGGCTTGCATAATATGATACAGCCTGACAAGGTGGAGTATGTGACGCCGCTCTCACGTGATTGTGGCGGTGCAGGCCGAGTGAGAGCTTGTGATGTACATAGGGATTCCAGAATTCGATGGTCCTGGTAAGTTGACTGAAGATGCAGTGTCTACCGAGTCTTAGGAGAACATGATGGTATTGCATCTACGTGTGGTGACGCATGAATCGACTATTCTGCCACGGTATGAGCAAAGGTGTTAGCTAATTACACTGATCCGCTTATATGTGTGCAAACAGGAATGGACCAAGTACCGTACTGATTCTATTTTGTTACCACGAGATTAGAGAAGTATTCTTCACAGAGGACGCCTGCCTTGAAAGCATCACGATATGCAGCCTTTCCCAAACCGTCAAAGTGCCGCTGTAAAAGCCCGCTGTAAAAGCCCGCTGTTGCTGCCGCTGTTATTTGTGGGATGGTATCAGTGCCATTGTTGACTAAAGACGATGACACGAAAGGACGTAGGGTGTGGAAAGAGGATTTCCGTAGATATAGAGGTTATGAGTGACCACGTCAGCGAAACATTGAAGACAAGAAATCTGTCCTCAACGCGGCTGTGGCTTAGGTCGGAACAAGACCCGGAGACTCGAGCTTAGCGGTTGTGGCCCCCATACGACATACTTGTGACTGAATGAAGCGGCGGCCCCAGGCGGTATTCGGCGGGGAACCCCTCATGAGATAAGGATATTCCGGAGGCACTGCCATCAGGAAGCCTTTAATTCCATTGGTGTATCAGACCAGACATGGAATATATAATCGCCCTTTCTTTTGAGCTTTGGTTGCTGTTTAAACGTTTCCTATGCATGGTATTATATTATCGTGGAGCCTTTGAGACAGTTGAGCCTAATGTCTTTCGCCTTGAGGTTCACAAACTATCACTCGATATGTATAGCATGCTATTTATTTTTCGTGACCAGCTTTCCTCTTCACCCTCGTTTCTAGATCTAGCAGAAATACAGAGATACTATGTCAGTGTTTATATCAATGTTAACTACACCAATAAAGAACTGATAAGCACCAGGGAAGTGCCTACAAATTGTATATATTCGTATCCCTTCGTCTGTCGATGCTGCTCACACTATATAATAGAAGATCGCAATTTTGGGTCATGAGAGATCAACCAATCAATAAGAAAGATAAAGAGATATATCTGTGAGAAAAAGCCACACGCTTGACACCAAATTTACGGTGAGCAGCATTTTTCGACAGACGAAGAGATAAGGGTGTAATCACCAACGTTATCCGATGCGCTAATTACGAGGGCCGCGGTAGAATAATGCACTATACTTATTCCTCATCAAAAAGCTTTTATCCAACGGCTTTTTATAATTCGCTTCTTGAATAGATTTACAAAAAAGTAAGGTCTTGTTTAATTCCTTTTGGGTAAGGGCTATCTTCTCGCCTGAATCTACTCAATTCACACACTCCAGCCTCAAACATTATTAGTACATGCAGTAACTCCTAGAAATTCGTAAGATCTCATAGAAAGCGCAAAACGGGTGGCGTAAACTAAGGTGAAATAAAGAGAAGGCGAAGAGAGACCGCTAACACAACAAATAGATGAAAAATAATGTTTCCAGGACATATTAATTTCGTGAAACATAAACTACCATCATCATAAATCGTCAATTACCCAGTTGCCTTAGTTTAAATTGGGCGAGGTTTCCTTCGTCTCGACCGTTGCCTGTTTAGAATCCGATGATACCTCGGCCGGCCCATCCTATACGTTATGTTAGTGGGTCACATGTAACTTGAAGAGGCTGTAAGGGTGGAATCCGGGATGGGGCTAGAAACTTACATCGGATTTTTCTGCTGGTCCACTAGCAATCGCTTTGTTACCCGTGCCACTGTATGAGAATTCACGTTCGTCCGTCTTAAGCTGGTATTTTACTGGCCCTACGAAGCTGAGATGATTCCTTCTTGACTCGCCAGTACCAGTTTGTATCACCTTGGGGGCAATGAATAGATACGGATGACGAGACTCCGGGACAACCGTGCCAGTCTTCCCGCCCCAGCCAACCTCAAAGATCTCGGAATCTTTCTCGTCTTGAGACATACTTATTCCTGAGTGCCTCGCTCTTGCTGCCGGCTTCTCTGGTTTTCCCTGTACCACTTTTGCGTCTAGGATGTACGGCATGTGATCTAACCTTCCATACCAATCGTCCCGATCCCCACACTTCTCTTCATCCAACATTCTGTACAATTGCATAGCCTGGAGACCTGTTGCCCGCAAAGTGAACCGAGAGATTTTGCCGCTATTACTGTTGGTGAATCTGGTGCATCTCGTTACAAGTAGGAGTATATAGAGGGAAACGTAGATGACCGGTACACTGATCAAAACTCTGAGCGAGAGTGCTTTGACTTTGGTGCTAACGACCACAAATTTATCAACACCTTCTTTCGGTTTGCCGGTGGTAGGGTCGTGAGCAGAATTAAAAATTCCGATATCGGGAGAAAATTGTGTCATGACGGTGTCTCGTAAAACGTCTTGCGTCGCAATATATGAAGTTAGGACTAAGCGTTCGAGGTCTGCAGCGTATGAACCTGCTTTTGCGTCAAGTAACCCGTACGAGCTACTTGCTGACATCACTAGAATCGAGGATCCAAGTGAAGAACCGATATCAAATATCATAGGTCTGATGAAACGGTGCCGGAAGAGCTCGTCTGTAATTATTTTTGGAACATCTAGGCCAAGTTGATCCAGGTCAAGAAGATTGACCTCTTTTCCTTTGTAAGACCAAGTATCCTGCTGCCAGCAAGAGAGAGGCGGCCGCCCCGTGGATATAGTGAATGGTGGAAAGCCATACTCGACATCAATTTGCGGTGACGGTTCCGTAAAGTACCATGGATCGGATGATGCGGTGTGGCTATACCGGCCGACAGTGTCTGGGAGAATATAATATTTTAACTTTGCTCCGTTTGGGTTGTTGTATATTTCAGCCATATCGGACTCAACGGCCAATCTAGGCATAATCATTTTTCCGCCAACGTTTGCGTCCGAAAGTACGTTTAAAGAATAATTTGAACCATATATATTATAGAGATCAAAATAATAATCAGTGTCCAGCCCCTTGTATACCTCATAATCAAAACTGCAGCCTCCTTCGGTTTTCAGCATGAAGTTGCGAGCATCTTTGAGTTGTAACCCAAAGTCCACGCCGGTTACGTTGAATTGATATGAGGCAACTTTGTCCTCAGAGATATAGAATGTCACCCTCTCACGTAGTTGGTTTTTCGCATACTCAACAACTCCCACGGCCCTTTGAGCTGACGGCGCCCTGACCCGTTCAGCCACCGATTGTTGCTCGGTATTGTTGAGATCAGGTATTGCAAAAAACACGCTTTGGGGATTCGCTGGGGCCACATTACCCAGTTCAAGATTGGCTGGGACGACGACACCGGCAAAGATTCCGCCAAATACCAATGAAAATGCAACTACTATCATGGCAACGTCGAACAACCCCGCCCGTCTATCGAATTTGAAAACAACCGTAGCATGTTTTATGAGTAACACCATGGCGGTATATGGATCGCTGGAGTTCCAGATCGCTACCAAGGCGATATACCTGTTAGCCTTTCGTCGGCGGACATTGAGTAATTCCGCCTTGATATCCTCAATTCCGTGATCTTGGCCCAAGACCGACGAGTCGCGCTTTTCCTCGGCGGCAGAGTTTGTGTGGTAGTAGTCGTCAAAATCTTTGTTCTTCTTGGCTATTATCGGGCCCTTATTTCTCGATAGCACTTGACTCATGGTCCTCCCGTCTTCTGTTGGATAAAACACAAGGGCAAAGTAGGTAGCAAATTGCCAGAGGGATCCAAAAATTGCAGTTATGAGAAGTGCGTAGGCGGAAGCTATGTAGAAGGACTCGCGATCGGTAAATCCTACGCCTCGGAAACCACCATCATTAGAGGGCATCAAGAAAAGCTTGTGCAGTATATATGCATTGTCAAGTGGGTCTGAAAAAAGCTCAGCGCCCTGAGGCTTTGAGGATATCTGCATCTTAGCGCAAGATATGTGTACCGTGCCCCTAAAATATCAGATCGTTAGGAACAGAGAAATTGTAGTTGAAGTTGAAGTTGGGGACCTCCATGTCAACTTACCTAGGCTAATCTTTGGGCAAACTTGTGAACGTGGTTTTACCAGCTTTAGGTTAAGAGGAAAAGGCCAGACCATGGACCTTTTGAATAATCTGCACCCCTCATTTTAAGTATGTATGGCAGAGGCCTTTTCCACCAGTAGGTGCCTCAATTACCTATTCTAGAACTAGCAGATAAGCCAGCTGCTAGCATGCACACATGTCTACATGTACTTACATGTAGACATCCAGCCATCCAGCCATCGGATGGGAATCATTGGATCGTCGACAAAACGAGGAAGAAAAAATAATATGGAACCTTTGCCCGTGTGTGTGTACAGTCGCAACTCGATATGCCGGAACTCAATACACCGGATCCCTTGCTGTCCCGTAGGAGATCCTCTGAGAATATTATTTTTCCTACTCCAAAATCAATTTGCTATCCCGGATTTTTTGCTATCCCGTACGAAATCTTTAGAATCTTGGCAATCCGGCATATCGAGTTGCGACTGTACTCTACTGAGTAGAGTCCTGGGTTAATGGCTTCTGCAGTGGGCGATTGTGTGACGTGACTTTATCATTAACATCGTAATAGCACATGTTCCCCGAATTAATGATAACACCTTTCTCGGAGTTTTCAACCCCAAAAGATCCGGTTAAAGCAGGTACATGTAGTCGATATAGAGTAGAGTACCTACATATATGTATATATATAGTTCCATAGGGTAGAGTAAACAACATGTCGATGGTTACAGAAATATTGGGCCTGGTATATCGTAAAAATTAAGAGCCCACCAACCGTCAGCTGCGAGTAGTACCGTCGATATGAGTGCACATTCATGCCAAGGTGCTGTGATATTTGTATGCATACATTTCCTGTATCGTGTATCGACCATTTTATCTTCTGAGATCTTGAACCGTGCTTATTGGTGACGTTTTATTAGGTATAACTTGATATATGAATTGTACTCTATGGCACAAATATTCATCAGTAAACAACTTGAATTCGTTAACTTCGGTACACAGCGATCTTCCCGGTACCGGGCACTGCTTACTCTAGTGAATTCTCTTGAGTACAACTTCTTTCTTGGCTGAGACTCTATCACCAACAAATGCGACTCTACAGCACATACCTACTCAGACTATGTAATCGACTAATCATGATAAGATAATTAAGAACAACGCTATCCCATTTTCATGAGATTCCGCAAGACAACCGGATTCGGTTAGCGCTTATATGTACTCGAGATGTCTTACATGCTGGCCGGGGGTTGTACTTGGGGCAGGTAACAAGAACCTGAACATAAAAATGCGCTGGCAGGGGTCAAAGTGGTTGCTACCAGAAAAACGATGTTCAGGTTCTTCATGCCTGCCCCGAGTAATACTCACAACAGATGCAAGCCTTGTTAGGCGAGCAGAAAATAAGAGGGCGGATATAGTTTTGAAACAATTCGGTGTTTATCAATTCTTACCCTCGTTGGATTTGATCGGTAAACACTCATTGGAATCGCAGGAGATATACTTCCCATCCGGCGCCGTGTCCTGTTGATTGGTCAATTTGTCTTGGAAAAGGAATAAAAAATCTCCTACTCCAATTCTATGCTGCTAATATAGTCTGCGTGAGATATTAGGTACTCGGGGCAGGCAATAAGAACCTGAAAATGCAAGCTGCAAGCAGGGGCTCAATTTGGTGTAGCTTTTCTCCAGCCGCGAATCAGAGGTCGTTACCATAAAAAGTCATTTTCAGGTTCTTCTTGCCTGCCCCGAGTAGAGTGCCTACATGTATGTATGTAGAATACTACATACATCCTGTAGCTAGGCCGGTGCTCTAGTATCTCCACTATGTCGCCATTCGATAGACTAAGAGTACCTACTGTAATTTTCGACACGTCACTTGCAAAATTATCCCCCTCAATTCTTTTTTGGCATATCCCCGGTGTGGCGTATGTACAATGCACTTTACCCAGCATGAGCAGGATGAGACATACATATCCCATGCGCAGTGCGGTAGCTTCATCCAGATATTCTAATCTCGCCCGCGATTAAATGACTTGAATTATCGCAAGGGGAGCAATACCGAGTAGAAATCTCGAGGCTGAAGTACATGTAAGTAGACTTCCCGTTAAATTCCACGAGACGCCCCCTTATCCGAGTTGCTATAGCTAGCGTCCAGCGTCCAGCATCAACATCTTTCTCTTCTCTCTATGCAAATTAATATTTGAATTCAAGCAAGGAACATGTTCAAGTCACTATCCCTCTTTGCGCTTCTCCTCGCCAGTGCTTCCTCGGTCATCAGTAAACCTACTGAGGTTGAGAAGCATACATATCTTGATATTAAGACCGTCTGCAAGCAAACCCCGAAGCTGGGCCTCTTTGGTCAACTCCTCGAAGAGCGGCCGGATATCTACAAGGCATACGTCGATCTAAGGGACAAGACTTTCTACTTGCCCTCTGACGATGCCCTTAACGCATACTACGAAGCTACAGGCAATATTTTCCGTCGAGCCGTAGACGATGTTGCCAAAGCATCATATCAGTACGTGAACGGCCAGGTTGACCTCAACGATGCGCGGGAGAAGAAGCGGCTTGCCAAAAAGTCGGGCGACAACAAAAACACGGTGGTGATAAGTAATAATGCATCAAGAAGGAGGAATAAGAGACAGTTGACGGTTGGAAATGATACCGTCACAACGGCAGGAATCACGGCTTCGACAGGGTTGGGGACGAAGTCGGAGATTCTGTTTGGAGATATTCACTGTACTCAGGGCCTTATCCAGGTTGTTGATACGTAAGTTTGCATACTTTCACTGCTCAATTGTGACTTTTATATGCTAAACTGTGTTTTAGACTTTTCACAGTTCCTGTGCCAATAATTGAGACGCTCGATTGCACCAACGGTTCCGAATTTTTAGGTGCACTCAACGATGCCGATCTCGCAGACACATACAATGACATGGGGAACGTCACCTTCTTTACGCCTCAAGATGGCTCATTCGAAGCCAACTCGACCATGGACTGCGCATCTATTCAACGACACGTAGTTGAAAACGAAGCCCTCTACACTCCTGACCTCAAGGATGGCGATGTCATTGAGTCTGCATCAGGCGAGAACCTTTATGTAAATATTTTGGATGATGAATTCTACATCAACTGTGTCCGCGTTATCACGACAGACAACATCGTCAGTAACGGTGTGATTCATGTTGTCGAGAAGGTATATACTTACCCCCCCCCCCCCCCCCCCCCCCTTTCCTCTTACCATATTATAACGCCTCTCTGACTTTATATGGATTTAGGTCATTGAACCTATGTCTGCTCCCCCATCTTGCTGGGCAAAAAACACGACTGTAGAACCAGTGAAATTCACCGGTTCCGCACCAACGAATCAAGCCGGTAGCATACTGGCTATTGTTGGTTCTCTAACTGCCTTATTTTTTTGCTCTCTAGTCTAGTTTGTTCGGGCCAGATCTAGATCTGGGATGTGTTTCCTTTATGAATATCGACGTTGGTTATGAGTTATGCAGCAATAATGATAATGTTTATGTATTGCACTGTATATATGAAGATACAATTCCAAATTGTGTTGTGCCTTTTCTGTATGCCACCGCCAGCAACGTCTCCCCTGGACAAGTCCTTGGCAACCCTAATAACCGCAACTCTAATGGTGTTAAAATAAGAATTCCAAACTGGACCAGCACCGCCGATCACCTTCCCACCCCAGCCCAGGGCCTCGCTTCCTGATTGGCTCCTGCGCAGCGCGCGCACCCTTTTCGCAAGCACATCCGAGAGAGGTCTCAGGTCTCTGTGTTAACCCGCGTCTGCTCGCTTAAGATAAACTCTTGAGGATCGATCTACTCTGACCACACACCACCACCCCAACAGTAAATGCTGCCGAGGGGGGGCCGGCCGGTCTCTCCCCCACCGTGGAAAAAAGAAAGTAAATGATGATGCGGGGATCCACAGAATCTTCAAGCTACGAGTCCCAGCCCACGATTTACACACATAGAGTACTCTCCATTACTCTAGCTATTTAGAATACCTAGCGGGGGGTATGGGCGCCATGTCTCTGCTGGGCTAGGGTAGATATCGGATTTGCTTTTTATCTATATTGTCAGTTGATAGAGCTAGAGCTATATCCTCACGACCACCGATCGAGGGATCAAAAGGAAATACTATATATATATATATATATACACCTTGGCTGTGAAATCGCCCATTAACATTGCATTTCCAACCCAACCTCCCATCGAAGGTCCCGTTCCAATGTTCAAATTGTAGGATTAAGTGTGCAATAAACTGATAGGATCAATGCCTGCTACAAGTCCATTAACTTGGCATCGTGCGGTGTGTGTATCCGACTCCGAGTAGTGTGGTCCATGCATAGGCCGAGCCGGCTCGGGCTTTGGGCTCGAGCTTTCGGCTCATTCACAACGAGCCTTACTACCCAGCGGCCAGCGATCTCGTGTCCCGAAGAGTTGTGGGGGGGGGGGGGCTTTAAACATAGGCTTATCTTATCGTCTTCCTAGGGGGATCCGGAACCTGACCCGTACGCGTAGCTCAAAGTGCAGATGATGATGGTTCGATCCATGGATCTATTTTTTTTTTTTTTTTTTTTTACCCCTGCTCTTCGTCAATTCCTGCTCTTGGCAGAAGTGGAAGTGTTTCCTGTGATATCGATCATTGGCCACCGGCTCGAGCCTGTTCATGATCAATGGAGCCTCTCCCAAAAAAAAGCTCGAGCCGGCTCATGGACGGACCACACCAGCAGCCACTGTCCCGTGGACCGATCCATGTGCGCCTCGAGAGGCATCTCTCTAGGCACTCCAGCAAGTCGTCGGGGTTGAAGTGACATACATACATACATGTACATACCCTTCATTTCACATGGTGGGCAGAGAGAGATGAGATGAGCCTTCCAGACAACTAATCAACCAAACAACAACAACGCCAATCATGAAGCATCCTACCTATAGCTACAGCTAAGCCGGACAAAAACCAAAACAAAACAAAACCAAAACGCACTCCCCCCCCCCCCCCTTTAAGCTTCCCCAGCTTCGATCTCCAGCGCCCTTGAGGCGCGTACAGTCGCGACTGCATGGCTAGTTAGTTATAAGACTGCACAAAATTTAACAAGTAAACACGATCCCCCCGGTCACGGTTTCCCCAACGCTGCAATCAATATGCACATGCAGGCCCCATGCCGTTAGAAACGAGATCTCTGTGATAATAATAAGGCACATGCAAGTCCTATTCCATTCCGATATCATAGGACTATATATTTCATTCAATCCCCTAGCTCGATATACTGCAGCTAGTCCCGTGCAGTTTTTAAATCCTCACCTACATGTACGGAAAATGCGAAAATGCGAAAATGCGAAAACGTGAACAATGCGAACAATGTGCAAAAAAACCAAACACCATATGCATCAAGTAGACGTCGTCAAACCCATGAAGAAAGAAATTGAAGAAAAAAAAAAAAAGCGAAAGTAATAATAATAATAATCCGAAAACGCTCCAGCCAAAAAATACAAGCCGTAATAAAGACAATAAGAAAAAAACCACGCTTATAATTATTATACACTAGTGTCCCTCCCCTTCCCCTTCCTATCCACCGCCCTCGCCGCACTCCCCACATACTTCCCTCCCGCCCCCGCGCCCCCCGTAAACGTCTCCCCACCCTTCTCCTCCTCCTCCTCCTCCTCCTCCTCCTCTTCCCCCTCCTTCAACCCCACCCCCACAACCCCCGCCGCCCCCGCAACATCACTCCAATACTCCATCCTCTTCACCTCCCCCTCCGCCACCTGCACCGCACCCCTCAGCGCCCTCGTCCTCCGCTCCCTCCTCTCCCTCACCCTCCTCCCCGCCTCCGCCGATCCAGCAGCCGGCTCCTCCGGTACACTCTCATCCTTTATCGGCACCGCCAGCGGCGGCACCGGCGCCTCCACCGGCGACGGCGGCAGCAGCAAATTCTGCGACGACGCCGATATCGCCGACAGCGGCGTCGTGGGCTCCGCCGCCGCCACCGTGGGCGGCAACGGCGCCTCCGGCACCTTTTCCTCCTCCACCACCGGCGTATCCGGCCCCTCCTCCGCCCTCTCCGCGTCCTCTGCCGCGCGGACCAGCAGCGACAGCAGCTGCCTGCGCGACGCCTGAAAGATCATCAGCGCCATGATGGCCGGCACACGCTCCGGCAGATACTCGACCTCGTCGCCGGCCTCCTTCAGGAAGTTCTCGACGGCCTCGACCTTCTCGCGGTCGAGGCGTGCGGCGCGGAGCACGTTCATGAGTGTTGGGATGTCCTTGATTCCCTCCTGCTGCGCCTGCTCGGCGTCGTCCCGGCCGTCGCCGTCCTCGTCTTTCCAGTCCCAGCCCTCGCCGCCCATGAGGCCGCGCTTCTTCTTCTTCTTTGCGCCGCCGCCGAGGATGGTGCTGCCGTCGGCGGTGGCGGCGGCGTGGCGGTGGCGGCTGTGCGAGTGGATGGTGAAGTAGTCGGGGTTGAGGGTGTGGCCGCGCTCGCGGCTGCCGGAGCGGCTGCTGCATGTGCTGCCGCTGTCGTGGCCGTGGAGCTTGATGCGCTTGCGCAGCCAGCGGCGGCGGCGCACGAAGGAGTGGAACCAGATGTGCGTGCCGTGCCAGGAGAAGGCGGGGCTGAAGGAGAAGGAGTAGGTCCACCCTTCCTCGTCGACGTCGGTGGTCATGTCGACGTACCAGGTCTTCCATGCCCACGTCCATGTCGGGTCGGGGACTTGTGCGTTGACGATCGAGACGGCGGAGCCGTGGTAGTGCCTGTTCTGCCAGGGGGAGGGGTCGAAGTTGAGCAGGCCCTTTGCGGAGAATAGGGGGATGCCGCAGACAAACATTCTACACGCAAGATTAGAGTCAATTCCCAGTGGTTCCCTCTGAAATTGGCCATATATATCGGGGGGAGTGGGAGTTGGAGGGGGAGTCCTACCCGCGCTGGTTCTCATAGAGGATATCGATCTCGGCCACCTCCTTCTCCTCCTTCCCGTCCTTCCTCCTCCCCGTCCTCCTCTCCTGCCCGTCCCCGTCGACCTTGGGCCCATTCCCGCCCGTATCACTCCTCTGCCGCCCCCTCCTCCCCTCCTCGCTCCCACTGCTCGAGCCAAGAGCCTCCTCATCCTCGCCCACGCGCTCCACCACCCCCGCCGCCCTCGGGTCCGGCGGCGACACCCCGCCCGCGGCGGACAGGTGCTCATCGCTCGGGAACGGGTCCACGCTCCACCGCTTGTACTTGCGGTACGCGATTGCCTTCCTCAGCGTCTCGCGGCGGCCGGGGGCCTTGGACGAGGAGGCCGCGGAGGGCAGGTTCTCGTCGGAGGCGGTGGGGGAGGGCGAGGGCGCGGCCGGGAGCGTGTTGTCGAAGAGGGTGATGCGGCTGGGGGTCGGGGTCGTGCTTCTGGAGGCATTGGCTGACGGCGCGGTGGCCATTGGTTGGTTGGTTGGTTGGTTGGTTGGTTGGTTTGTTGGTTTGTTTTGCTGCTGCTGCTGCTGCTGGATTGTAGGTGCTGGTTATTGGTGCAAACGTGTGGTGGCGATGTGTGTGGAGAGCGGGCTGGGTAAATTGGGATTATTAGGTGCGTGGTGGTCGGCAAGGGGCTGCTGGCCACGATGGCATGGGGATGGGGATGGGGAGGGAGATCTGGGATGGGGATGGGGATGCACGATAGATTAAAGACCGAGGAGTCGGAAAGCAGGCAGGCAGGCAGGCAGGCAGGCAGGCAGGCGGGCAGAGAAGCAGATGTCTGTCTGTATGTAGAATAGAGCAGGATGGGAATGGGAAGAGGTGTGAGAAGAGCTCTTCTGGTGCGTGTTTGCGGGTCAGAGACGACGGTGAGCGAGCACAGAAACCCACAGATCTGCACAGGGAAAAGGGCTCAAGATCGCGACGTCACACATGGAGCGATCGGGTTGGGCTTGCGTGTGCTCGCTCTCCTCCAGCAAGGAACCCGACAGAATGCCGGTATCGGATACAAGTCACCGGATGGGATTTGAGGTCTCTCTGTCCGGGTTCTGCATGCGGTCCATCGTGGCTCCTGCCAGGGCGCTGTGAACAAACAGCCAAAGCAAACCAGAAAGGTCCAGCATGTAATTCCCACCGTGCCAGCCAGCCAGCCACCCACCCCCTCCCCACTCCCCACTCCCCACTCCCACCCCCTCCCCCCCTCCCTCCCCCCCTCCCTCCCTCAGGGAGGCAGACTCTTCTCCATGGCCCTTTACTTGTTCCCCCCCCCCCCACCCACCCCCTGTCCCTCCTCCTCCCCTCGCCGGTCAACCCACCCATGCGTGCGGTAACCGTTGCTGTCGCCCCTACGCACGCACTGACGAGCAATGACGTAGTGCCGCGCTCACGCTCACCCGTGAATATAGAAACAAAATAAATAGCTCTTCTCCCCGACGTCGATAATTCATCTCGCTAATTATCCATCCTCTCCGTACATCGTCACACCACACACATCTCTCTCACATACACAAACAAACAAACAAACAAACAAACAAACACACTTTAAATATGTCTGCCAGCCCCAACACCAGCAGCACCAGCACCAGCATCCCGCGCGCCACCGGCCCGCCCAAGAACCGCGTCCCGACCTACCTCGCCGTCGGCGCGGCCGCCATCATCGGCTACTACTTCTACACCGCGGGCGGCGACGCCAAGGTTGCCGGGAAGGAGATGAAGCGTGAGCACACTGCCATTTTTTTTTTTTTTTGAAATATAATTGCGGTTATATCATGAATAAATAAAATACCACCATCATCAGTGTCCGAATCAGCACTAACGTTAAAAACCAGACGACGCCGCCTCCGCCTCCTCCACAGCCCGCGACCAGCTCCCCGGCCGCGGAAAAGAGCTCAAGACCTCCGCCGAAGAGGCGCTCGCCCGGGTAGGCAGCGAGGTGGACTCCACCGTCCGCGAAGGTACTGATCCCCCCCCGCCGCCCCCGCTGCCGCCTCCCCTCATCTAACCCCCCCGGGAACCACATAGGCAAGAACCGCATAGCGCAGGGCCAAAAGGTGCTCGAGGAGACCAAGGACCGCGCCGGCAGCAAGATCATGGGCACCATCGACCAGGCCGACCTCAAGCTCGAGGAGGAGGCCGGCAAGGCGAAGAAAAGCGTCGGCGGCTGGTTCGGGGGGAAATAGATTTTCTTTTTGCGGTGAGTCGGGGGCACGGCGGGGGGATGTGGTGGCGGAAAGCCGGCTGGCGAGGCTGAGGTCGTGGGATGTTATTGGGACGGGGTTGTTTGAGGATTGGAGTAGTGAGGATTGAGGGATTGAGGGATTTGGGGGATTTGGGGGGTTTTTTTTTTTTTGTAATTAACTACATGTATTTTTTGCTTGGTTATTGAATTTTGTGGTTTTTCTTTCTAATGAGTTTTTTGCGGGAATCGTGTGAGTGGGTGTGTGTGTGTGTGTGTGAGTGAGTGTGAGTGTGAGTGGGGGGGAGAAGGGGTTGTTGGTGGTAAGATGGGTTCTATGTAGCAGATTCGGGGGGGGTTGGTGGTGGTAGCTGTATGTAGTTTGTTTGCAATCAATCAATCAATTATGTACACCCCTGGTAGAGAAAAATCAATACATGTGCTTTAGACACACACTATCACTCGCCCCCCCCAACAACCAGCCAAGCCCCCCCCCCCCCCCCCCCCCCCAAACCAATCCACAATCCACCTCAGTACCCCAGCCCCGCCCACACTTAAGACATAAACCAAACCAAACATTCCTTTCCCTAGTATACTCAGGGGATAACTGTCCTCAAATAACCGCAATTTTTTTGAAAAAAATACAAATTTTTTTTTGAAAACGCCTCCGAGTGATAAACCATGACCAGAACTCACCCCCCCCCTTTTCTTTCGTTTATGTAAGCGAAGAATAGATCGACCTTACTATCCCTTCGTCTGTCAATGCTACCACCCTTATAATAGAGGAATGCAATTTGTATGGGAGATCTGTCATTTGATAAGAGAGATAACGAGATCTGTTAGTAAAGCCACACCAGATTTGCCCCCCCCCCCTTTCCCCCCCGGGGCTCGGCCTGGGGGTGGCGGCATTTAACTGACAGACGAAGGGATAAATTTAAAGCGTACAAGTGCTCTTGGAGTCAAACTTTAGCATTAGGTCTTAGTTATCTTTTCTTGATCGAATGGGATGTTACCTCTTCTATTAATTAGCCTTCAACCAATCGCTGCCATCGCTCCCCCCCCCCCGGAGGATCAAGCTGATTAGAGCCGGGGCTTTCATTTAGGACCTCTCTTCATTTCCGGTGATATTATACTGCTCCCATGTGGCCAGTACTGATAACCGACTCTTTCCCCCCAATGTATGCAAAAGCTCGGGGAAAGAAACTCCCACATGCACCAGCGACTATCCCTTGGACGGATGAAACTGTCAAATTCGCAGCTTGCCTTTTTTTTTTTTTTGAGCTAATACTAGCCTAAGCAGGTATCTAACACTTATTTTTGATTCGCTCTAGGTCTATTTATCAACCGTTAAGAGCAACGGATATACCCAACTCAGTGCGTGCACGGTCCAGGCTGCGAATTTGACGATTTCATCCGTCTAAGGGATAGCAGAAAGAACTGTATCAATATGGGGTGGTCGATCATCAGGTGTAGCTGCATAACTCTCAGACCCCATCTACCCGGCCTAGTGTCATTACTACGGCGATGGGAATCGAACGTCAAAGTCAACCAATGCTTAAGACGTGGTCTAATCCAACCTTAAAGTATTGTCGCTTGTTTTACGGTAAGATCTTGTGGTTTTGACTATATAATGTGCGAGAGTATCCCCCGCCTTGTGCTTCTTGTACTGGATAGGATTTCGATAGGAGCTCCATCATGCTTCGAATGCACGAACGGATGTACCTGCATGCACCAAAAGTTGATCGCAAAAATTAAGTGAGGAAGGTGGTATGACAAAAGCCGAAAAACTAAGCGATACGTAAAAAAATCCAGCTGGTTATTACAGATATCAGATTGCTGTCTTTACAGCAGAAATCAAGAGGAAAATTCATACGGCTTGGAAAGAATAAGATTAGGAGGCATTTATATAGTGCGTAAGGAAATAGAGAAGGATATCTGGTATTCGCATAAGTTTAACTAAAGTACTTCTTGTAAGCCTGCTTCTCCTTCTCCTTCTTGGCATGAACCCTGTCCTTCGCAGCGTTGAGATCCTTCAAAATCGCCGCGTCGCCGGGAGCATAGTTGTCCGCCTCCTTGAGGTCCTCCAAAGCGCCTTCATCGTCCTTCAAGGCAGCCTTAGCCATAGCCCTTCGGAACAAGGCTTTGGCCTTATCAGTGCCAGTGATGTCCGGGATGTCCAACGCCTTCGACGCAGATTCGTCGGCCTCGCGATAAAGCTTTTGCTTGTTTTGCAACAATGCACTGTTAGACAGCAGCACAAACTTTAGGGCCTGGATGTTCTTGAAGAGCTCTGGTGGGTCGTTATCGAGGGCGACTGGGTACTCGGCAAGGTAGCGGAGACCCTTTGTGTATTTCTCAAGACCGAGCTCCAGGTCGCCGGCCTTGAACGCTTTGTTGCCAAACTCCTTGAGCTCGGTTCCGATTCGGAGAATGGTTGCACCGTCCATTTCTGGGTTCTCGTCATCGGGGAAGTCCTCATACCTGTCGCCGGTGCCGTCGTCGCCGCGAATCCCGGCAACGTCTGCATCAGGCCCCTTGAGTTCTCCACAGTCTACGCTCTAAGGTTAATATTGTTGATATTACCGGAATGGTGAGGGGCAACCGACCTTCAATTACGACAGGTTTGCCGGGCTTGTCGGTGTTGTCGGTCTTCATTTCCTCGATTTTGCGGATTACGCTCTTCCCAGAGAGAACCTCGCCAAAGACAACGTGCTTATTATCCAGGTGAGGTGTCGGAACAGTTGTGATGAAGAACTGACTGCCGTTGGTTCCTTTTCCACTATTAGCCATCTCCGCCAAAGAAACAAAAATCAAGTGAGTCGCATACCAGGACCAGCGTTAGCCATAGACAGCAAGAAAGGTTTGTCGTGCTTCTTTACGAAATTTTCATCCTCAAATTTCGTGCCGTAGATTGACTCTCCACCCGAACTATAGATACCATGTCAGACTTGTCATAATCACTAAAATTAAGATACTGGCATACCCATTTCCAGCAGTAAAGTCACCACCCTGGATCATGAAGCGCTTGATAACGCGGTGGAAAGTTGAGCCTGACGAAGAAAATCTTGGTCAATCACTAATAATTCCAGCTTAGGAGCACAAATCTAGGATAAACAAACCTTTGTAGTGCAGTGGCTTCCCGGTCTTTCCAATGCCCTTCTCACCAGTACAGAGGGCACGGAAATTCTCTGCTGTCTTCGGGACAACTATGTCAAGCTGTCAGCTTACTGCAAAAAACCCTGCTTACGAGCTCTGTTGTGGAGCTTACTATCATTGTACTATTTTCATTTCGTTAGATTACAGCACAGCAACAAGAGGATGACCGAGAGTGCATGTTCATTCATACCAACTCGAAAACAACACGTTCAGGGCGTTTGCCGCCAACTGAAATATCGAGAAAACAGCGAACACGCTCTATGTATGCATCAAAGGGTCGTCAGCTGTCATAGCCTATTATTTGTACCCCGCAAAAAAAATAACACCCCGCTATCACAGCAGTTTGAAACTTATTGGTAGCAAACAAAAAGAAAACTTACGGGTTGGGGCTGGGGCAGATTCTTCGGCCATGATGAACTTTGAGCTTCTTTCCTTTGCGGTTCTTGGATAAAGGTTGTCGTGAAGAGTGGGGAGGGGATAGGAAGATGGGATGGGATTGAGGTTGAAGAATGCCTGTCAACCTTTTTGAGCACCTAGGGCGCGGAAGGTTCCAGAGCCTCTCTCGGCGATCTTGCGCAACGGCATCGCTTCTTTCCCCACCTTCTCCCACGCCCCCACGTCTTCTTGGATTTGACAGGCACGATTTCTTTTGATGCTCCTAGAAATAGAATTACGCATTGGGCAGAGGGCAAACAAGGCGCCCAGGCCTACCATCTTTTTCAACGAGTTATATAAAATGGGGTTACAGCAACATGCATGAATGCGTCAGCCGTAACCGTTGCATGATTTCTTGGCCTGAAGGGTTCGAGTGACTGGGTATGAGCAGCGTCGCACGGCAATTTTCATGTCTCTCGTGGTCGCCGAAAGCGGAACTAACCCATCAATTCTTTCTCTCACCAAATGTGCATGCTTAATGTCTATTATGACTTTCCGGACTCTGCATACACCGAATATAGTAGAGTACCCTGCACTGCATGCTTTAGTTATAATTACATATTGTGTACCTACGAGCCATGACTGTAGATTCCTACTCTACTTGATATATACATGTACATGTAGGTATACGTGGGCTTGGTTTCTTCCCAAAGCCTACATACACTCCTGCAACGCTTGATATAACTTCGGGCAAGTGCTCTAGAGTACTCTACGATAGAGATGTACATATGTAGGTAGAAGGAGCATTCCCCCGGAACACAAAACCGACATTTTTTTTTCGGATGCGTGTATAGGAGGGATTGTAACTAAGACATTAAGACTTTTGTTATTTGCATTGAACCCCAAGGTTATGATCAGAAAAGTATGCTATTGATTGGCTTTGTGAAATCCCTTTTGTGGATTGTCTCGACCTCCAGTCTTCAACAATTCGGAGAGTTCTAGTATCCGGGCTTCGCCTTTATATTTTTTCTCTATCACTAGGTATCTTACACCAGGTGAGCAGCTTAGTTGCCGTTTTGGATGACATTCCCGCTTGTATCCCCTTTCCCTTCTCTCTTCAAATCATTCTTTTCTTTCTTCCCACCTTTATTACTCGTTACAATCTCAGGTTTTTCCGGTGTCGAGAGCTCGAAGGTGACTGGACCATCGTTCACCAATGCAACCTGCATCATGGCTCCAAAGACACCATCTTGGACTCTCGTCATTGCATCCTCCTGTGCTAATCCTTTCTCGCCAACGTACAAAGCTCGTGTTTTGCCAAGCAGCGAGGTATAGATGTCTGCTGCTAACGCAGGAGGACATGCTCCATGGAAATCGGGCTTGCTCCCCTTCTTGGTTTTGGCAAGAAGCGTGAACTGTGATACGAGAAGTACCTGGTAATCCATATCCATGACAGACATCTTCCATCGCCCACCATCTGAAGGTGAATCCCACACTTTGAGCTTGAGTATTTTGTTGGCGAGTAACTCGACATCCTTCGGAGTATCGTCTGGGGCAACTAGATTGGGAAAATAAAAAGGGAATAGTTAGGATATAAAGGGTTTCAGATTGGTATGTTTCAAAAAGGTTTCCTACCAGCAGCGAATACGAGGATGCCTTTACCGATTGAGGAGACAATTTGATTGTCGACTGTGACGGATGCTGAGAGAACGCGTTGTATTATAGCTAAAACACGAATGTTAACCCTTAACTGGTCAAGGTTGTCTACGATAATATAGGGTGAGACCTTTCATGGTGAGTGCAAAAAACGATTTCGATTATTTACTAAGTAGTGATAGTGATGATAATAATGTCTTTTGTTAGTATGGGTGGGGTGAAGCGGGGCTCTGCCTAATATCTGCGTCTCAATATGCGAGGGGCCTTGAGGCTCTGTCTGCGAGTGTATGAGATGCAATTCTAGATAGGTAATATCATCCGCCAAGACTGAGGCAAAGCATTGAGCAGGTGACATACTCGCCAACTTGCAGGGAAGTTAGGGGGCGGTTGGGGAAGCCTCACTAAGGGTTGGGGGTAGCAATTGGAATGCCAATCTATTTGCATACCTGTAGAAGTACATGTACCTCATAAGATGCACCCGATGAATAAATGTAATTCCAGAACGAATCGTGAATGCTTGAGTGGTAAAAATTATAACGGAGTGAAGAATATCACCAATATCTTACCAGCATAAACGGGAAATCTCACAGAATACAGGAAGGAAGCTGTCGAATCTTGCAGCCTCATTCAAAGAAGTTGCACCAAACAACAACCCTGTCACTGCCGAGAGAGATCAGCCCTCGCATTCATCCCTCCATTGCTACACTAAGAGGTATCGACACTTCACTCCATCCACGAGGACCCCCCCCCCCCCCCCAATCAAACCTACAAACTTCCCCTCCCAAGGTGCTTCCTTCTCCTAGAACGGTTATTCCAGAACCCTCTGACGACATCACTTATTCACCACCCACTGCCCTCTTCCGGCGCAAACCACCATCACCAACCACATCATCCATCTCTCTGTATTGTCGACCCCTCCTCCAGTATGTCGGCCCGCAAACTCCAACAAGAGGTCGAGCGGACCTTCAAACGCGTAGCTGAGGGAATAACCCAATTCGAATCTATCTACGAAAAGCTTAACCAATGCACAAATGCCTCCCAGAAGGAGAAGCTGGAAGACTCGCTAAAACGCGAAATCAAGAAGCTGCAGAGGCAACGGGATCAGATCAAGACATGGGCGGCGAGCTCCGAAATAAAGGACAAGAAGCCGCTGCTTGACGAAAGGAAAAAGATCGAGATGGTAAGGATAATCGAGCCCCCTATGTCCAGCCCCATATTATCGAGTTCTTTGGGCAGCGATGGAGACGAAGAAGCAAGTGGCAGAGAAGAGGGATTGAAAATGTGTCCTTTGTTCTCTCCATGTCGGTCTTCAGATTTTTCAGTTTGCTACTATTTCCTTACACTCCTGTTGCTTCTATCACAGGAAAATACTTCATGGCTTGCTTCATGGTTTCTATTTTACATCAGTCGGGACGACGTTGCTTCTCTTTTTCTTTTTTCTCTCTTCAAAGATCCCACACATATACCCCCTTTCGCTACTCTTTCTTGAATGTCATGTTGTTTGTTGGTTCCAGGCTGATGTCTTCTCCTCCCCCACCGGGGCCATGTGCATATACTGCAGCAAATGGAAAAGTTCAAAGCTGTCGAAAAAGAAATGAAGACAAAAGCCTACTCGAAAGAAGGCCTGATGGCATCTACTCGCTTAGACCCAATGGCCCAGAAAAAGGCCGATCTAGTAAACTTTCTGTCCGACTGCACCACCGAACTTGACCGTCAGATCGAGGCCTGCGAGGCAGAAGCCGAGTCCCTCACCGTTACCTTGAAGAAAGGAAAGAAGTCTGATGCATCAAAAGCGGACAGGGTAGCTGAAGTTGAAAAACAAGTGGAGCGCCATAAATGGCACCAAGGCAAATTAGAGCTGATCATGAGGCTGCTTGAAAATGGACAATTAGATGCGGAACAGGTAGAGAGAGTGAAGGACGACATCAAATTTTACGTTGATTCAAATCAAGACGTTGATTTCGAGGAATATGAAAATGTCTACGACGAGCTGGACCTTGACGAGGAAAACGCAGAGGACCTCTTTGGAATTGGTGCGGATGTGGATAGGATGTCTAGCCAGGACACACAAAGCATACAAGACGATTTATCTGAAAAGCCAGGTTCGACGAAAGATTCTGTGGTTGGAGGTCGCAGACCAAGTACTCAACTAAAATCCCCCATGCCAGCTCTAGCAACACTACATCAAGTCCCCATTACTACAAATACAATTATCAGCAATAACGGGTTCCCCCCTTCGAATGGTTCTTCTATGAAGCCTGCTCCTTTACCGGCTAGACCAGCGGGCGAAGTGCTGAAATATGCATCCGTGGCAACCGCGGCGGCGGCAGCAGATAGAAACGTCGGGATCGCGCCACTTCCGCCCCCACCCGGAATGGCTCCTCTACCAAATCCTCCTAACGCACCTACAGGTCCAAGTGGAATGGCTCCTTTACCACCACCAACCGCTTCCAAACAATCTTCACATCGGCCTGGACCAGCCTCCACGCCATCGGCAACGAGTCCTGCACCTCCTGTATCTATTCCTCATACGCCTTCACTGGACAATTCCGCCATTGTTTCGCCTTCCCCAAAACCCGCAAGTGCAATCTCCGTTTCTCGAGAACCCTCAAGTCAACCGTTAGAACCATCACCTGAAGAGGCAGCGCCTAGTAGTATCGCCACAAGCGACCATAGCGACGCTGGCAGCGAGGCAGACCTAAACAGCGAAGAAGACCCAGCTTCTGAGCCTCCTGTAGAACCACATACCAACGGTGCTTCATCGTCAAGTTCAGCCGCGCAAGTTGACCTTACATCACCACCAGTAGAAGAATCAATTTATCACTTACCACCCGGTTTACAAGACCTCATGTCCTCATTCGAGAATACAAAGAAAAGGCTCGTTCCGCAGCCGGGGCAGGTCCACCGTTACCTTGAATACTCTCTTCTTAACGCACCAGACACTATCGACGCAGAGAAGCCCCGTCATTACAAGCCTACAACCAAGTATGATACGGCACGCCACTATCCACAAGAACCCTTACCGATATTTGACGACCCGTTGCTATACAAGCGTGTGGATGTAGATACACTTTTTTACGTATTTTACTACAAGCAAGGGACATATCAACAGTATCTGGCAGCCAAAGAGCTCAAGAAGCAGAGCTGGAGATTCCACAAACAATACCAGACATGGTTCCAACGGCACGAGGAACCAAAGACCATCACGGAGGAGTATGAGCAGGGAACATATAGATTCTTTGATTACGAGAGTACATGGTGGGTTCTTTTTTTTTATGTCATTCTTATTACTGCTTTCGCTGCGCACTTGCTTTGTTACTGCTGCGGTGCCTCCATATGGTTGGCTGATTTTACGTTTTGGTGCATTGAAGGATGAACCGTCGCAAGACAGATTTCAAGTTCGCGTACAAATACCTCGAGGACGACGTCCTATAATCTCGCCCTGCTCGTTTTCCGGTTGCATGGTATGGTATATTGCTGTTTGGTTTGGTTCAAATGCAAGTGGAAATAAAGAATTTTCAACAAATTATAGGTCATCCTACTTGCTGGTCTGTATACGTTTTTTTTTTTTTTGGTGGGTTAGGGCGGGCAAAAATACAAGGCCCGCCAGCACTGGATAAATCTAGTCAAGTAAAAAAGAAAGAAAAAAATCGGAATGGAAAGAAAGAAAAAAAAAAGACGGGGGGAGAGGAGCCGTGGGGTTTTCATTATCTATCTTTAGTTTGTGTGAAGTACGGGGTTTTAGTCATTTCTTTTCTCGTTATCTTTTTTTTGTTTGGGCGGCTGCATCCCTGCGATCTTTTCTTCTTGTTCGGGGGTGTTGAATATTGCAATGGTTACATACTTTAACTACCAAAGCGCATATGGATCTAACATTCAGCTGATCAGGCGAACCAGTCAACTCACCCTCCTCGACATGGATCTTGAGCGTCGGTATTGAGAGATAGTGTTTGAAAATCTTACTCAACCTGTTACATGGCGACTGAAAGCTGTGGCCAACAGTTTTACGATATTCAGCGTCCTCATTGAATAATTCTACTGATCTCTGCAACATAGGTAGGAAACATAGCTACATGAGTGTCTAGTTCTCTAATGCACAGAATCAATCTCGGCCGTGAATGCACCACACTAGTTTTCCGAGTGTGTTGTCGATTTGCACATGTGTTCGATCTCGTGTGAATATCGAGTTCCTGCCCGGTAACAGCCGCGTGCACTTACTCAATGCATCGTGATTCCAAAAACCTGTTTTTTTATCTCGAAAATCCGAGCTTTGATACCTCGGGGACCTTGCTTCGTAAGCTGTCGAGTGATACTCAGTGACGAGCCCACCGTGTAGAGATCTTCATGCGTCAAACTTTTGATTCTGTGTCTGGGTGTTTCCCAACCCCATTCAATAGACATAGCAACTAGTATTTTCTGATGTATTAGTACGAATCTGTGAAATAGGCTAGCGTGCACTCTTGGCACATGCAGAGCCCCATCTATTAATTAGCCGTAGATGCCGTTCCCGAGTAAGAACGAATTGTTACCGCTTCAGTAATCTGTGGTACACAGGATATCACTCGGGAAATTTCCACGAGGAAAATCGAGCCTTCCAAAATCAATATCTTCTACCAATAGATTAGGGGAAAGGAACAACTCGTAGAACGATCTTCTTTGCCGCCTCAATGTACTATCGAGCTAGTCTTCATCTAGGAGAGCCGTGTAATACGGTGTACGGGGGGTGAGGTACGGGGGTGAGGGCACACTCAACCTTCAGAGCCAGACCTGTCAACCAACCAGGAACGCACGTACGGGGGCAAAGGATTTTTCTCTCCTCTCTCTTAGTGCTCTTCTCTCTCTTAGTACTCTTCTCTTTCTTTTTCATCTCCTTTTACATCATACTCTCAACTCAACTTCGCCGCATCGTCTTTCCCGCGATGCCCAATCCCCTCTCCCTATCTAGTACAGCCATGTCCGACCTCGATATGAACCCATCACCGACTGGATCACGCAGATTAAATCATGGAAGGGTATTACACCCCTTGAACTGGAACACCCGTCAAATCCAAGGGCTCCGGACAGAGGTGGTGGATTATTCTGATTATGTTAGCTCAGTGCGTGGTGAACCCATGGCAGATCGATCGGAGTCTCTGCTTGATGATCAGGTACTTCAGAAGGATATCGATTACCTATGGCATTGGGCCAAGGAAAACAATAGGGAAGAAATGGAGGATCATCTGGATGAAGCCTTCAAGAACTTTATCAAGATCATTGAGTCCCAGTTGAAACAGAAAATCTTCATTTGCTATACAAAGTAAGTCAACGTATTCTACCTACCTCTGATAATGCCAGCATGCTCAAACAGTTGAACCCTATAGTAGAAGTGCCCGTGAAGGAGATATCCCTTTTATCAACCTCCTCATGGGAGGCAAAGCACAAATCCTAAATCCGCAAATCTTAATTTCCACCGAGAAAATACCTTTCCTTATTTACAACAGTTTGCTTTACAACACAGACCTGCGTGGGAGGTTTAGGGATATTTCTAGGAATATCAAAGAAATAAATGATCGGAAGGATCCAAGGAAGTGGGGGGCCATCGATGGCTACAACCTCGCCTGTCTCATCGCTCTAGCCCAAGTGCAGGAGGGACAGGTGATTAAGGCTGCGCGTGCACATGGTCTTTCTTTGGACATCCGTCAAGAGTATAAAGTATGCCACAGTCCTTTTAGATCAATTTTATGAAAATTAGCCAATCTTTCCGATAGAATATTAACGGAGATATTGCAGGTTCATTTAGTCACCCCTGCCACACCACAAGTCGGTCTTTTCCTATTCAGTGCCACCATCAGCTCAAGGTACCTGGCTGCTTTTTTATCCTCTTCCCTGGATAGATTTGATCAAGATCTTATTATCAGAAAAGAGTTTTTTGATCTTTCCCCTGCAAGAATTCAAGAGAAGCGGCAGAATCTGGTTTCCAGACTTGCGGGTATTGTGGAAGCCGCGTATATGAATCATGAAATTCTTGGCCTCTTGCGTAATTCAAGCAACACGGTCGCCCAAGGAACACCTGTCCCGACATCTCAGCGACGCCCCGACGGAATTCTCAAATACAATCATGCGGGAGGGACTGAATCTGCCAATCAGGTACGGAAGAAGAATAAGGTTGCGTTCCCGCCTGGAGTGAAGTCGGGATAAAGTTTCTCCCATCTAATTTCTCTAATTGTTACTGGTGGTTGATGGGCTGGGTACGTGTGGATATGGGGTATTGCACAGACAACGGTGAATAGGGTCGGTATATAAACCCTGGGAGATGGTTGGTGTAGGTGTGTACTGTATATTTGTGTTGTACGTTGTTCATAGCAAGGCCATAGTTGACGCTGGGATTTTATATACCTACATGTACATGTATGTATGTATAGACCAGCTAATTGACAATTAGCATGGATACCTTACTTTCGTCATTCCCATTTCTATACAAGTACAAAGCCGCTGAGCGATTTCTAGTGAATGGAAAAGAACAAGTCCCTCAAACACTTAAACGCTCTTCCCCAAATAAATCATGTGTACAACATATCTACATGGATTCCATACATGGGAAGCACCTAACCCCCGGGCTTTATATATATACTACATAAAGTCCCAGCCAATTAATCGAATACGAATTAACATATATCATACCCAGTAGGCGAGGTTTGCGGAATCTTCGCTTCCCAGAAAATGAATACACTCGGATTAAGTGTTTCGAAAGTTTCAGAATTTTCAATTTTATAGGTTCAGTGCAATTCAGAAGCATCTCGGACGTACCCAGCCCGGAGCCGGCTCCCCTCAAAAAAATTAATCCGATCTTTTCCTGTTTCCTAGGATGTTGTATGAATGTAATAAATCTCCCGCATAAATGTTAATCAACCAGAGGAAAAGAGATTGTGTTAATCATAAGTTATCACTCGAATAGAGCTAAGAGAAAGCTTATCATCCCTGCTTCATTTCTTTTACAGCACAACGATCTTTCCCCAGTGACTAGAAATCTTTGTTACATGAAATCTTGACTTTAACTATTCCACAAGTCGTAAGAATCAATCAATCATTCAATTAATCACAAGTCGGGCGGCAATTACGAACAGCTTATCGAGTGATGACACATGATTGAGATGCCTGCATGCATTATTGCAACGACCTCAGCAGCTCCTGTCTGCGCAGTAGCACATGAAAAAACCTTGTCAGTCAGGTATAATATACAAAGGCTAAGGAGGCTGGTATTTCTCTTAGATCCTCGGACAGAGCCGAAGGATTTATAGGCAAGGACGTGGAAGAGTAGAGTTTTAATTACGCAACCCAGGCCCCTCCTAGTCCCTAAGACAGAGCCCAAGGGCCAAAAGAGGTTAAAAAGGAAGAGCCCAAAGCATGTAATTCGGACCCTTTCTGGTCCTTTGATTCTATAAAGTGTTAATTGATTGAGATTTGGTAGTAAAAAACGGTTCAAGAGGTATAGAGACCAGTTACAACAACCTTCCTTCTTAGGTGTTGTTCCGCTGAGGGGGAATATGTAACTTATTTTTAAATTCATTCAGGCCCATGGTGGAAACACACAATAAAATTTCCGGTAGAGTATAACAACGAAAAGAACTTTTGTTTAAATCATAAATCCAGACCCAATTCATACCCAGCCCAACCTAAAAATAATTTACAAAAAGGGAAAATTTAGCTTATTCCTTCCCTGGGATAAGCGCGTACTCAAACCCTCCACTTTTCTCAAACTCGGCCATATCCAACGCAACCAACGCAGACTCTCTCACGACCTGTTCCGCATCCTTTGCATACTCGTTTAAGAAAGTCTCAACATCGTCGCTTGCGATGCTCCCGAGAGCCTCCACGGCCTCATGTCGTACCATCGGGGCCTCGTTCTTGTCGCCGGCCACTTTAATCAGTGCCGGAACACTATGAGGGTCTGACAATTGACCAAAGACAAATGCAATCTATGACCCACTTCTTATTAAAAAAAAACTCCCGGCGGTAAAACAAGAAACATATAAACGAAATAAAACGAACCTCATGTCTGAAAAGTGCACTAGGATCAGCAAATCCACTCGCCAGCGCATCAATCGCCTCATTCGTTGCAATATCCCTCAACCGAAACATGGCCCTGTATCTCTCAAATAGGGTCCTTTCCCTGTCCATCAGCTGTCCCTTCAACTTCTCAACGTTCGCCTCTTTGCCAGCGGACGGTGGCGCCGGGTCCACACTAGCAAATGCGCTCTTCTGCAGCTCCTCCGCTTTAGCGGCTTCGCTGGCTTCCCATTCAATTCTTGCGATGGCGATCTCGCAAGTCTCGCGCACAACCTCTTCGGCGTCTGTGAGGTGTTTACGAAGGAGATCAAGTGAGGCCGTGTGTCCGAGGGCGCCAAGGGCTTCACCGGCTTCGTGGCGCACCATAGGATCTTCGGTTAAGTTGGAAAGGACAGATTGGAGTGCAGGGGCGGCATAATGGTTTTTAGACTGGCCAAGGCAGTAGGCAAGTTCGTGTTTGAGTAGGGCTGTAGAGTCGGAGATTAGTTAGGGGTGTACCAAGGTGGTGAGGTTGTGTATTTATCCATACCTGAATTGCTGGAGAATGCAGCAGCAATAGCGTCAATTGCAGAGAGGTCTCCTTGGGTAGCCAAGTGCTTGAGCGAGAAAAGAGCACGGAAACGAAGGGCGAGATTGTCGCTGGAATCATCGCAAAGGACCCTACGAAGCTCGGGGATGGGATCAGGCTTGGCCTCGGTGACTGTCATCGTGGGTATTGCTCTGTAGCTGTGGTGATTCTAGTGGTGTTGGGTTTGTGGGTGGTGAATAAGAGATCGAGGGAGGGAGAAACAGCTTTGTGGTAAAGCTTCGAAATATTTTTGGTTTGGTGGGGTCGAGACTCAAACCCCACCATCTGATTATGCTAGTGGATCAGATTATGTGCGCTTATGTAACAGTATCACCAGGACTGTGACACGCTATTCCCAATCCAACCTACACAATTCTCTGCAAGAAACAGCTCTTCTCCCCAGCAGAACAAAATTCAGGTATTAACAGAACATTTGATAGACGCCAAAGTACAATTTTTCCATAATGATAAGATAAGACACTACTGAAAGAGAAAAAAAACCGCGCTCTTATTTTATTTCTCTGGAGTCATCAAACCTAAAGAAACCCATTATTCATTTACGTACGCAGCCTCATATTTCGATATACACGCTTAAACCACTCTCTTGACCTGCATTCGCAATCAGTATCATAACATCTGATAATTTCGAATCGCAATCACAAATACACTGGGAAGTAGCTTACCTCGAAGAACCTCTTCAAATACCATACTTGGAACACCCCATTGCCTCCCACAACGCCCAACTGGAAAATGCTCCACCACTTAACCCTACTATTCGTGCTTTCGGCAGTATTCCTGTGTACCCTCTCCCTGACCACGATATATTCCTGCTCATCTTTGACCTGGTTCAGCATCTCACCGAGGCTCCTCACCTCGCGCTCGAGCGGGTCTGCGCTTTCCGGTTCCTCGGGAACATACACAATGCCGTGGACGTTAAAGGATACCTCCTTGGTGTTGACGTTAGAGTTTTCGTTCGAGAAACAGTAGGTGTAGCGTCCGTCGAGGTGCGCATCGAATGAGTGATCGCCGGAGGATACGGCGTGTTCGGAAACCTTCAATACGCCGGCCGGATCTTGAATCTATAGCCACACGATCGCCGATTAGAATCTCCTTCTACTCCCCCAGGAAGAATATCAGACTAACCCAAAAGTCGACGTCCAGATTTCCAGCCCCACCAAACTCGCGGTCTCCAATCTGGAAAGTGACGGTCATTCGGTCATCTTTGTGTAGTGTCTCATGGAAGCATTCACGGCCGTGGGCATTCAGTTGGATGTTGTGCGCTGACACCAGGGACGATGTCAGGAGAGCTGCTGCCGAGAATAAGGTTGCGAATGAGCGCATTTTCATACGATAATTGTGGATTTGTTTCTGCGGAGGTTTTGATTCAGGCTGTGAATTCGAGATGACAGCTTGTCAGGTTGAAGGTTTCGCTATGAAAGGGGTCTTGGCGAGTTGTTAAGGGGTGGTGATGTGGTCTTTTGGGTTAGGGTTTACCTGCCAAGACAACCAGCTCTCGAATTCTTTATCGGTACAAATCAAACTCTGGGAGTGCCTGCTGCAATGACTGTGTTTCTTTCTGAAATTGCATGTACTTAGGAATAGTTCTTTAGGGGAATTTCGGCTTGTGGCTAGAGCTGTGCATTGATGTTCCGAGTGATAGTTCATGATCCAACGAACGACGACGGCAATGGTGTGGTCCGCAAGCCGACCAGACAAGCCCAAAACCCAAGACTGCGGTTCTTTGGAACTTCTATTTACTAACTACATACTTAAGTAGGAAATGCGCAAAATTTCTCTGGTAACGGATGGGGTTTTCTCGGTCTCTTGGCATCAACAGACTCCATGTATAATCCAACCAGCTACATATCTTACATACAGCCACTCCGTATAAGTGTTGATCCGTGATTCGCCCGAATTCGCCGGTGGGATCATAACAAATTGGATTGGACCACGATAACTGATAGCCGCAACAGACCTCATGGGTGTATATATGGGAGTCAATAGGTAGTTGATGTCAGGCTGTGAACGAGGTATGTGCTTTGCAGGCCGTAGCTTGAGCGTGCCTAAAACCATATTTTTTACTCCGTATGCACTCCAGGATATGTCATGGCATTACAAATTCTATACGGTGACTGTACTTGCTATCTAAACTATGTTGTGTTTGTTTTGTATTTGGAGAGCTTTTTATAAATCTGATAGGTATACGTATGGCTGTTGAATTAGGCTCATAAGGGGTGTTTCAAAATAGCCGTTGGTGCTGAGTGTGATGCACAGGGCTAATAAAGTCGATGTTCCAATAGGAATAAAGGGACATATGATGAGTAGACAATCGAGCAAAGGCATGTCAAATGAAGTGGTTATTTGACATCTCATCTGACACGATCTTGATTAAATCCTTTACTACAGAAGCGACGAACCATAACCCGTATTTGAGACTCTCATTCTCGGTCAAATACAATGTATTTCTACTACTATCTTGAATACATATCTTACTACAACATTGTAGGATATATTCATGACGTCCGAGTCATGTAATATCACTCGGTAACCACGTCAGGCCAAG